GTGATTTGTGAATGATTTAGCCGGATCATATATTATCTATTTATAAGCTAAGAAGAGAATCGGCTAATCATTATCACAATTTAGGTTTGATATGATCATATCTTTTTTAAATTAAGATTTAATGCAAATTGAATATATATAAGATCCGTTTTGAAGATTGTATTAACTGTTTTGAAAATTATGTTCAAAAATAAATTTTTGTTCCTTAATTACAAAATCTCTACGTGGTTAACAATTTTTGAAAGATTTTAGATTTTATAACTATATTTTAGGAAAATTCGAATATTTTGTTGACTTTTTTATTGGTGTTTGTTGTAGTTGCTTAATACAAGGGATTTGAATTTTCGTTTTGAATCTATTCGAATAAATATACAATTGTTATGGCAAGTACTAAGATTTAGGATGCTATATTTATTTCTGATTTAGTAAATTAAAAATATCATTTCTATATGTATTTATCTTTGCCAATCTGCGAAATACACATAGACAAAATTTTTGAGACAATCCCGATATAAAGATTTTGAAAATATCTATTAATATATTATCAAATTTAATTAGTTTACATATTTATAATTTCGTTTTTTTCTTCCATATATATTAATCATAATTAATTAGTATAGTTTAGTTAAGGAAATATTTTAAAATCTAAACTAAATTTCGTTGTATGATTAAAAATTATTTGTATCTAAACAAAATCCATGTTTGTTATATTCGTGATTGACCTCCTATATATTAGGTAATCTCAATAATACTTTTAAATCCGTTTGACCCATTGACCCGTTTTTAATGAATTGATGAATATTAGTGACATAGAATTAAAATGATTATGATTAGAGATCTCTAATGGCATATATTGTAATTTCTTATAAAATCAACGTTACGACTTATATGATGTACTTCCCAAATAATAGTATAGGATAACATTTTCATTTTCAAATAATGGATTAGTATATAACATTTTCGAACTATATGAGTATTATAATTCAAAATAGCATTTTTTATAAAGTCAATTGATATAAAATGTTTTCAATGATATATCATTTTCATTAACATTTTCAATAACATTTTTGTGTCACATTTTCGAATTATATATTAGTATACAACATTTTTACTAATTGTGTTACATTTTCGAATTGATTAGTATATAACAATTTCGAATTATATTAATTGTGTAATATAGTTATTATCGAAAAATATATGAATTATATAAACAAAATCTTTTAATATCTTTAAACCCGTTGACCCGTTGACCCGTTAATATATATTAGTGACATGGAATAAAATTTTATGATTAGAATTCTCTAATGGCATATATTGTAATTTCTTACAAAATCAAGTTATGATCCTTAGGATGTACTTCCCAAATATTAGTATAGGATTATAGTTTTGTTTTATGAATCATTGTAGAGTTTTTGATATATATTTGAATGCTTTTCATGGATTTGAAAATTAAAAATTGGTACAAGATGCTATCAAACTATTATACTCCTTGATTAAATATTTGTAGTTTGCATACTAATAAAATTAATTTGGATGAACTATAGTTTGTATGAAGTATTCTACTCTACATGCACCCTTTTTCCAATAATATATTTCGGCTTCATAATATATTTTTCTGCTAAATACATATGGATTTCGGTTTCAAAATACTTAGGCATGACTCTAGTTATGCTTAAACAAATATCATCTGCTAATGATTCAAATGCACAAACGAACATCATCATTTTGGTGGACGATCTTCCTCATTTATTGTTAATTAATAAAAAAATTACAAACCAGATTATACTCTCTCACGTATTAAAGTTTAACGATATGTATATTAAAATTTACAACATACATATATCGATCTGCGTTGTATACTTGTATTATTGAATTATATGCCCTATTATATGTGGTTATAGTTAGCTGGCAAGTAGATTTGGACCATTTCGCAATTGGCTCTAACCTTTTTAAAATAGGGTTTTAGATTTTTAGGTTAAATCAAATTAGTCCCTCTCACAAAGGTACGCCAAAAGCTCTCTTTAAATTTAATATCAAAAAGCTTTTGACCCGAATTTCTTTTCGCCAAAAAAAGACGACGACAACTAACCTTTTCTCGTGCTGCTGCTGCTGCTGCTGCTGCTGCATGAATTAAGTAATCTAGCTCTTAGCCTTTGTTTTGTTGAGTTATAAATTACAAGATAAACATGCATGCACAAACGTCGTCGTCTTCTTTCCATCTTATCACATAAAAACTCACAAAACAACCCCAATATTAGAAAACAAAAGAGACCCTGGAAACTCATCCGACAGTGGCAGTAATTGTTAGGGATATTGGGAATAATTCATATTTTATTTGAGAATATTTATTTTTATGTTTTTGTAAGAAAATATAAATAACTAAAATAAGAGGCACAACAAAAGAAGGATGAGCTGGGAAGCACGTGTGAAGGAGAGAGAAGCACGTGCAACAAAGACAGTGCAGGGTTGACCGGAGACCGTAGGGTCGCGAGAAGTGGGAGACGCACTGTCCCCTACACAGGCCTTCTACGACACCGTTTTGCCTTTAATCAAAACAAAAACCCAAAATATTTTTTTAGATTTTAGATGATCATTTGAAATGAGTGAATAACTCCAATAGCTAGAAGAGTCATGCTAAATAATAGTAGAATTTAATTGATTATATTTATAGTAAAGATACAAAAGAACTCGTATCATATATATATGTGATTTTAGAGTTGATTAAAAAAGATATAGCAAAAACAAATACATAAAAAGATATATACATTAATAGTGGACCAACCTTTTTGTAATTGTTTAAGACTTGGACCAAGCTGGACCCAATCTTAAACACTCATGTCCTCACTGTTCATTAAGATTCTCTGACCTTTTGACTCATCCAATTTTTTCTGGCTGTAATAAGTCTTCATTTTATATTGGCGAGGTCCGCCATTTAAAATCGTATTTGTGATGGTTGGGTATATAATTGAGTACTGCTTGGCATAAATTTGTAAATCAAATAAACAAATTAACTTGGTATATAAAACCTAGACATATGGTCGTGGGAGTTCGACTAATTTTAGTGCTTCTCCTCCCCAATTATTCGTTTGGCGTATAATTAGTAGTTTTTCGGAAGTTGATTGGTCACTTGACGTTTGATTGTATTGCAAACATATTTTCTTATTATTATTCTTTGAATAACCAATTCTTTGTTTGTAAGTTATAACCACCACCAGTAAATGAATTATAACATAAAATGCTCTAGAAATAGTCACAATCCACCATATATAGCTTTTTATTATTGATTTAATACATACCAATGACATAATTTTAAAATATTGTCTCTTATTTTTCTTCCCTCTAACGGGAAGAGGGGTGGACAAAGGCAAGAGACAATAATCACAAACGCTTTTTTTTTTTAAATAATCACAAACTTCTTTAGTTGTTCCCATGAGGTCAAGCCGATGACAGGCAGATTCTGTTGATCTTCTCTTCTTCACTCAATTTAATTTAAGTAAATCAATACTATTCAAAACAAAAAGAAAATAAAAAAGAACAAAAACAAAAACAAAAGAAATAGAAAGAAAACAGACAATAATACGGTCCAAGTCCATGGATCTTATCCCTGCTCCCGAATTTATATGATTTTGATATAATTGTCTTAGAATATTTGTCTTCATTCGATGATTTATTTATCTCAAAATAATTCTGTAAATTCTTGTACTTTCCCGACATTACATTTGTACAGAAGCAAATTTAAACTCCAACAAAAGTTACAGTCTGGATTTTGTCTTTTCGTTTAAATTTATTTATCATGCACATTGGACCAACCAATCACAAATGTTCCCATGAGACATATATGATAGTAGTATATGCATCCATAATTCCATAACCCATGCAAGTCTTTGATTAGCTTCTAATTACTTGTTACTAATAGGCTATTGTTTATTTTACCATGATGCAGTGGCTAGTTTTATTTCAATTGAGAAAAATATTTTATTAGATGTCAATATTGTCAAAGTCTAGACAGTTAACTTTTTTGAAGATTTGATCCTAATTAGCAACTAAACAATAAACATTGAGTCATTGACCTATTCGAGGATTGACCGTTAAAAAAAGGAAAATTTTAAAAAGTGAGAACAGGATAGAAAAAGAGTAATTTCTATCAGCGACGTAAATTTGAAAACAGTCAAAAGTTATACCATAAAAGACAAAACAGTCAAACTATTTAATTGGTCTTGTTATGATCTATTTTGGTAATGTGATTATAGGCTTGATGTAACACAAGTGAGTGGGAGCTGTCTTGTGGGTCCTAATTTCGTTCCTAGTCTTTCGCATTTTAGTTTGACCAAATTTATTGATTTTATAAATTTTATACAACACACGATTGATATACTTTATTTAATTTGTATTATAAATATATGGTAGCTAATAGTAATAAATTTGGTGGTTGTGTTATTGTATACAACTGGTGATATGATTGTCGATTATGGATACAGTCATACAGATTATAATTTTTGTTAACAAATAATTTAGATATGAAAACATATAGTTTATATTTCTTTGTTTGTGATATCTGTTTATTGAAACCCAAAATCATATATACTTGAATATAGATGCCTTAAGCTTTTTTTTTTTTTTTTTTTTTTTGGTTTAATGTTAATAGATGCCTTAAGCTTCACTTCTAAGATTATATATTTTCTTCCAACAAAACAAAAGTGTGATTTTTGACCCAAAGAAAATAAATAGATTTTGTGTGACCTATAGGCTAATGAATAAATGCAAACCGAATAAGTGCCATTAGTGTTAATGACGAACAAATCGAACAAAACAAAACATGTGATCGAGACACTAACATGTTTACGCATAAACTAAAAATGAAACCTAGCAACAATTAGATTATATAACACAATCTGTTTATTTTCTCAAAATTAATTCTGATCATATAATAGTAGTATTATTTTGAATTTAATTTTTGACATAAGTAACAAAGTTATAAAAGCCACACGTGTGGCGCATAGCCTACACAGATAAGGTCCATCGTCTTCCTTCTCTCTCAATTCCAAATTCAATCCAAGCTCCGGAAAAAAAAAACAGTTCCACAAAAACATGCCGGGGAATTTAGAGCCGTTGGATCTCGGAATCCAAATACCATACCATTTCAGATGCCCAATCTCACTTGACCTAATGTCCGATCCCGTAACCATCTCCACCGGCCAAACTTACGACCGCACCAGCATCGACTCATGGATCGCTATGGGCAACACCACTTGTCCAGTCACACGTGTCGCTCTCTCCGACTTCACTCTCATCCCTAACCACACTCTCCGCCGTCTAATTCAAGAATGGTGCGTCGCTAACCGTTCTAACGGCGTTGAACGGATTCCTACACCGAAACAACCGGCGGATCCAATCTCCGTTAGGTCTCTTCTCAGTCAAGCCTCCGCAATTTCCGGAACTCACGTCTCTGTTCGTTCACGCGCCGCCGCGATTCGTCGTTTGAGAGGATTAGCTAGAGATAGTGAGAAGAATCGCGTTTTGATCGCTGGTCATAACGCGAGAGAGATTTTGGTGAGGATTTTGTTTGCCGATGTTGAAACGACGTCGTCGTCGTCGGAGCTTGTTTCTGAGTCGCTTGCTCTTTTGGTTTTATTGCATATGACGGAGACGGAGTGTGAAGCTATAGCTTCGGATCCGGGTCGGGTCGGGTTTATGACCCGGTTGTTGTTTGATTCTTCGATTGAAATTAGGGTTAACGCCGCCGCGTTGATAGAGATGGTGTTGACCGGATCCAAATCGATGGATCTGAAACTGATAATTTCCGGATCCGATTCTATTTTCGAAGGCGTTCTCGATCTTCTCAAGAATCCGATTTCATCGCGGCGAGGTTTGAAGATCGGAATCAAAGCGATTTTCGCTCTCTGTCTCGTGAAACAAACGAGACATCTAGCAATCTCCGCCGGAGCTCCGGGGATTTTAATCGACCGTCTCGCGGCGGATTTCGATAGATGTGATACGGAGCGAGGTTTAGCGACGGTGGAGCTTCTCTGCCGGTTACCGGAAGGTTGTGCTGCGTTTGGTGAGCATGCTTTGACGGTGCCGCTAATGGTGAAGACGATATTAAGAGTTTCGGATAGAGCGACGGAGTACGCGGCGGGAGCGTTGTTGGCTTTGTGTACGGCGGAGGAACGGTGTAGAGATGAGGCAGCGGCGGCGGGATTGGTGACGCAGTTGTTGCTATTGGTGCAGAGTGATTGTACGGAGAGAGCGAAGAGAAAAGCTCAGATGCTTTTGAAGCTTCTCAGAGACTCTTGGCCTGACGATTCTACCGTTAATTCCGACGATTTCAATCGTAGTGAAGTGGCGCCGTTTTGAGTTTTTTTTTTTTTTTTTTTTTTTTTAACATGTTATTTATTCTTTGTTAGAAAATTTAGAGTAGTCTTAATTGTGTAATTAATTTGAAACTAAAAAAAATTTCAATAGTCTTTTTCTTCCTAATTGTCTGCTTTCTTTGATCTAAAAAAACTTGTACATCTCTCCATCAAGTTCTAAAATTTGACTAAATTTCTTCTAAGTGAGATTCAAATTAGGGTTCTTACTTCTTAGTTACTTTAATAGGGTTTTTTATTTGATTGACATCGAAATATTTTAGGGAAAGTTAGTCAGAAACCCGACGAAGTTGCACGGGAAAATAAAACTATAAATCGCTGTCCTATTCTAATGGCTAATTTCTAAGTAATCAATTTGTTATTTTTGTTTGTGAGTATGTTTAGTTCTGTTTATTTTTTGTGAAGGTAGATGTAAGTTTCTCTGTAATCATTGTTTTCTTTTCTTAGTTTTTGAAGCCGTTGAAATTGTAAATCTACTACATATCAGCTGGTAGGTATGCATATAGTTTTAGTTTTTCATTGATGCACACTTAAGGTATGTATGCAAGTGGTTAGGTAGCTTATTTTTGTTTTGGTTGGTTTAAATTTCAATCCATTTTTTATTTGAACATTATTGTTTGCTTTCATTATGATTTTCAATACAAAGATGTTGATTTATTATGATTCTCAGTTTGATCCTGGGTTTGAAAGTTTGTTGCGAAGCCCAAGCCCATTCACTTATAGCGGAGCAAAAACATCCTTCTTCTTCACGTCGCCCATTGGACGTTTCTAGCTGAAATTCATCGTCTTTTAGTGATTTAAAACTTAACCAAAAGAAAAAAATATTCAGTCATATATATCCTCATCAAGTTTGATGAGTATAAAATATTTAGAATGCTTTCTTTAACTGTGTTATATGAACAAAATTATATGATAAAATATCATGGCTAAAACCGATGATGAGTATGAAAAGAAAGAAATTGGATTAGATGATCCAATATGAAGCCCATTATCATTTTTAGTTAGATCTTCATTTGCTTAGGTGTTTAAATTTGTGTCTAACACTATGATAAATTTTTAAAACTCAAAATTAATTGGCAACAAGTATATCACTCAATGTTTTTATATATATGTAAAGTTTTCTAAAACTTCAAATGCGAGATCTTTAGAACATCTCCATCGGTTGAGAAATTTGAAATAGTACTCACTAATAAAATACTAATATCTTTAATATAATTTAGTTATATAATTAGAATTTAAATTTAAAATAAAAAGTGAATCATTAAAAGAGACAAGTGTCTCAAGATTCTCTTTGAGTTTATCAAATGAGAATTGATGACCTCTCTTTTTTTTTTTTCTTTTTTTTTAACGGTCAAATACCATTGAAAAACCATTGATGAAAATGTTCTTACGTGTCTCCAAATTGATAGTTTTTATTGGTCCATTTCGAATCGAATCTCATGTAGGACCAACAGTAAACTCTACTTTGACCACTTAAACTTCTTATTTGTATTTTCTCCTAAAATGTTGTGTCTAGTAGTAAAAATAAAAATAAACATAAATGTACATAAACATGATTAAAATGAAAAATATCCAGTCTTGCTCCTATGATGGAAAATTTTACAATCAAAATCGATATTTTTATCTGCCACAAAACAACATTAGATAAAACAAAATTTGGATGGATAATATCACAACACAAAGTTCCAGAGTATATAGTAGAAAGGCGCCTATGAATTTTTTATGTTTTGAACTATGTTCATATTATCATATAATATATCTGATCTTCTCGTCAATATATTGAAGTCGAAATCATGTTTTAGTTAATTGAAAAATTATTCATGTATAATAAAAAAAAGTATAGGCCAAGGTGTGATGACAATTTTTGGATAAAATATAAATGCCTAGACCTTATAGAAAAGAAAAGAAAAACATATTAATCTTCAAAGCAAAATGGTGCACTTTAATGGCTTAAATGTCTCACTGGATAATATTTGCCAATACATTGATAAAGAGAAGAAAATGAAAATTGCGAAAAAAAATCACTAGACAACAATGTTCGAAGAAGCTATATCTTTTCTTATTCCTTTTTTTTTTCTTTTTTGATAATGGGGTTTAAAGTTAAAAGTCCAAGCTAATCTTCTGCATAAGCAAAGAGATGGGACTTTGCAGAAAAGAAAAAACCCTGAAAATACTTAAAATTCAAACGGAAGCAACCAGTTATGATTTATGGAGATGAAAGATATAACACCAGTTCTTGAGCAACTTGCTTGAAAATGTCCCCTACTCCAAACCCATTTCCCAATAACTGAGTCTCGTAACTCGGATTTACCTGTTTCATCGCATAGAAGAAAAAAAAAGAACCATGGTAAATAATAAATATCATATGATAAAAATGTTTATATGTATAAGTTACCTGTGCTTGGATCACGTAGGTGCTCCAGAAAACATTAGAGGAGACATTAGCAAACAAAACCTCCATGTTACACTTCTCAAACAAGTAACAAACAGAAGTGAAAACCCCTGATTTGTGTTTAGGGACACACAAATTGAAGAATGCTTCATTTCCACAGATATTCAGCACGACGTTACGTGAGGACCAAGTATCGAAAGTCACGATCGGATCATTACAAGGGTAAGGCAGGTTCACAGCAGCAGCGCTGGAAGAAGATATCTGATCGGCCAAGAAAGCTGCGCGAGGGTAAGAATCTGCTGCGGTGGCGCCTATGGGATGGTTTGAGATTGGTGTGAGGAGAGTTGTTGGAGAAGAAGATGAAGATGGATCATAAGCCAAAGTTGTAGTAGGAGTTGTGTTTGTTGAGGCAGAAGAATACTGAAGCCTCTCGAGCTTTTGCATTTGGAGTTTTTGCAAAGTTTGTTCAAGGGATTTGATGGAACTCACTGCTTCATCTACTATCGTTGATTTGTCTGCCTGTGGATCAAATAAAATATTAGAAAATATGATTCTATATAACGTAAGAAATCCGACACATAAATGTACATATTAGTTACTTGTCATTTTATTATTTATTATATGTACTTTTATAGTGCTTTAAAACCGGAGCCTTTTTACCATGTGTAATCGGTGGATTCAAATAGGACTCGGTTTTAAAAAGAAAAATTTAGAGATATTAGTTAAGATCTATAATCTTTGTAAGAAAAATATCAAATTATACATAACATCCACAACCACAAGAACAATTATGAAAAAGAAAAAAAATGGGACAAAGACGAGCAAGAAAATAGAATAAAGAAGAGAGAAATCGAAAACCTTGCGGCTTTGCCAAATCACACCAAATTTAATTGACATAGATTAGATATAATTGTTTATATTAAAGCGAAAAGATGTGAAACAGAACCTGAAAAGGAACAAGCGTAAGCATTTGAATAAATTGAAATCTTAAAACATGGCAATCGGTAAGAGAAAGAAACATGAGAGAATCTTATGTTAACTTAACATAAAATGTAATAATATCGTCTATTTGTTCCGATTGGTAATAAACGGAATAACACGGTATAAAAAATAGAAGTAGAAAATAAAATTGATGAGTTTCGCAAGATGAAACAAAATTCATTTTTCGCAGTTGGATAAGACTAAAACATATTTTGAAATCAAATATTATTTCCGCATGAAATTGTATTTTTTTAGTTATATGTATATGCATATCTGTAATTTTATATGATTGGTAATTCATACAAATAATCGTGATATAAAACACAACTTTAATATTTCGCATATGAATTACCGATTAAAAACAATGATAATGAATATATAAATTTCTTGCCGACTAGGAAAGAAATCTTTCAATTAAATCATACATTCTTATTATTAAATCATACCTTAGGAGGAAGTTGGGGAAGCAAAGCATGTAATTTGGAAAACATGTCCCTCATCTTCTTTCTCCTTTCTCTTTCGGTCCATATATGTATTTCATGATCAGGTGATTCTTCTTCATGGTTTTTATCGTTTCTTTTCGTCCTTTTTTTCCCCTTTTTAACCGTCGCAGTCTGGATCTCCGGCGACGGATGAGAAGGTTGCGATGGAGGCGATTGTTTCTCGATTCCTCTGCAACCACCTCCGGAATCATCAGAATTGGATATGCCCCATATAAAACCCTCTTGCCCCAAGTCTTGAGCATTAGTCATATTGAATTGAATGCTCATTTACCCTTTTTTTGGTGTGTTTATTGTGATTTTATGAATGTCTTATGTAAAGAAAGAGAGAGAAAGAAAGAAAAGATGGTGAATGAAAGAAAGAGATAGGAGAAGAGGGATATATATAAAGAGTTAAGTGAGCTCACAGCAAAAACCCAAAATACAATCATAAGACAAGGCCGTTACTAAGACATCAAAATCAAAAAGAATATTTGGTTACTTTTTCTTCTTTTTTTTTTCCTTTTCATGAAGTTCTTAGGGAATTTCTTTTCTTCTTAATTATAACATTAAAGAATTGTTTGTGAGACCAAAATTTCATTGTTGATAAGTAATTAAACTAGTGGTCATAAATTTTTACGCGTTTTCTCTATTTTAATTGAAAAAAATATTTTTTAGATAAGTAAATAACTAAGATAATTAGTTTATTGGTTTAATGTGATATTATCATTCTTGAGAATTCATCCTTATATAATGTATATTGTTGACAAAAAAGGTAAGTAATTCACTATATAGTAAATACAACCATATTAATTCAAAATAAAATTGCAAGACTTCATAATTATAGGAATGTACTTATCTTCTCTAAAACGTGATAAGCTCGTTATTTTTTCCGTCAAACTACATGAATTATTACATTTCCATTCAACTTAGTTAATGGGGTGCTATTCTAAAGTAAATTTTCTAAGTTTTATAATTTTTAAGATTTGAAATTTGATATTATTTTTAAAAATTTATTTGTGTGAATTTCAAAATTTCTGCAGTATATCTTAGACTGAATTCATATATTTCCATATAACATCATGATTTTCCCACCAATAGGAAATAACTGTAAATTTTTTAATAATTGTTTTTCGTTATTGCATTTATAAGACAATTTTGAATTCAACAAATTCAAACTTCTAAAATAATTTTTTAAAATGAATCTTTTAAAACAAAATTGATGATTTATTTTTAAAAAAATAAAACATATGTGACCAAGATTTACGAGATGCCTTTTAAATATTTATATATGTATTATATAAAGGTTTTCAAGGATTTTTTAAAAACATCAAATTTGATAATACATATGAACATCGTTAGAAATCATGTTGAACGGGTCACTATAAAGTATAAATCATGTTGTTTAATGATCTACTCGTGAGTAAATGTAGTTTTGATGTATATTAGTTTTGAAGTGTAAATTCATGTAAGTTCTTACTTAACAAACTAATTAATATTTGTAATCTTAATATTCGTGTGTTGAATAATTGCAATATTCGTCTAATAGCAATCTATAGACACTGCTCTTGTGTAATGGACGAATTGTTATTTTAGAAAGCTAATAAAAAAATTGAAGTAGCCTTGCAAAATGCAAATCACCACAATTGTTTTCTTTTTTGATAAAAATTTTGTTGTTCCGTAATACACTGTCCATATTCAGGGGAAAAAGTATAGATTAACGTTCAAGAACTTTTTTTTTTTTTTTTGGAAAAATTAACGTTCAAGTACTTCTTACACAGTTACACATACAAGTAGATATGAATATACGGTTTCTGTGAAAAAAAACAAAATTGAACCTAATTGATTAAGATTTTCGTATTATGCCACAACACCCTGATTTGTCTTTAGCGTATTTAGTTCTCAACGTTCGAATCATTTATGGAACACAGTTAAAAACAAAAAAAGAATATTGAACAGTTTAGTTAATCAGAATAACAGTTGTATTATACAACTTGTATATGAACTGTTTCTTTACAAAAACGTTTAAAGAAAATATATTGTACTACTATGTATTAATATTTGTATTTTTTTTTGTTAACCCTATTGATATTTTTTTCATTGGAAACGCCGGCAAATGGATTCTAAAAAACATTTAACTTTTTATTACTTCATTCCAAATTTTATATCTGTCTTAGAATTACTTTTATAAATTAAAAATGGATGCACCAAATTTCATATTTGATGATGAGAATATTTTACATATAGGGTATTTTTGCAAAACAAATCCTTCAATTTTTTTTTTTGTAAATTAACCCTTAATTTGTAAAAATGCACGTTAGACTCACAAAATCGAAATCATCTAGCAATATAACATTTGTATGGGTCTTCTAAGAGATTCTAAAGTCACATACATTACAATATCTTAATTATAATTATAGATTTGGACTCCTCGTAATGAGAACTTCGATTGATATATAAATAATCATAATTTGACAAACTTAATTATGGTAGTGACGACTTGTTATATTGGATTTGAATCATTATTTTGTCTTAATTGTTTTTTGAAAAAGTTACTAACTTACTAATCAATTTTATGTATCTGCGCAAAAGAGGGTCAAGTACCTAGTTGGGCGTAAATTTCAAACTATTAAACAAAATTTCTTAGTACTTAATTGATATATAGTTGGATGATGTAATAATGGAGAATAATTTTAAAACAAAGAAAATACCAAAAATTTCTTAGTATCTCAGTAATTAATTTTTTTATGTGATCTTTCGTTTGAATAATATAAGTTGTTTATCAAAGAAGTTGTTACTCTGATTTTAAAAAGGAACAAAAGGTGTAATTAGGATCCTTAATTAACTTGTGATTATCCTAACTGTCTAATAAGTATGGGTTGGTAAAAGTGAGCGTTATCTTTATGGTTTTCAGTGCATGTAATCATTGATCGCCAGAGATTTGAACTGTCACTTTCTTCTTTCTTTTTTCTCGTAAAAACAAACTTTTTGAAATAAATTAAAATTGTCTGAATCCGTTCATCATATTTAATTATGAATTTTTGAACTTATTCCTTACCTAATGAAAGACTGGATTTTCTTACATACATAAGACAAAAACGGAGTTTTAGAGTATGGGTAACGTGGCAATCATTCACACACCACAATTGAGTCTAATTTTGGATTTTAGCAATTGAAAAGCGGAAAAAATCTATGTAGAATAAATTTTGCTAAATTGAGGAAATTAAAAGCCATTATAGATTTGAGGAAAAAAATAAAAATAAAAGCCATTATAGGTAATTTCCACATTTTTTGTTAACTTTTTCCATCATATTTTTCCACATTTCTACTTATATTTAGAAAATAGGCATGTATGTATTTATAAAATACGCATTTATAAAGATAATTTATGAGAACAGTATGTTGATAATTGTTTAAAATTTATATGGTTTTTGGGTTAACTTAACTCACAAGAGCATGGATCAGGTTGTGTTGCGTTGGATTTCCTATTTTAACACTCTCATTTCTTGTTTTCTTCAAAAAAAAAAAAAAAACACACTCTCATTTCTTGCTATAAGATTTTGAAAATTAATTAAAGTGATAATAAAAATAATAAATTTTTGACAGAAAGAGTAAATAAAATAAATAACACCTTAACAAATAAATTTTGTTCAACTTTCTTCTAAGATTTTTAAGACAATGTTTTTAATTTGTAATAATATTTAAATTTTGTAAAACAGATATAGCTCTATCTCTTATTTATCAACTGATGTTACCATTTACCAAAAGGCAAAGTACAAAAACACTAAAATTTAAAATTAAGAATATAATGCATCATGTAATTAAATTGCAATACTTTTTTGTTGTAAACTTTATTATTTTCTAAATAGTGGTAGCAAAATGTCAAAATGATAACGATATTAATCGGGACGACCGGTCCCTATATGTACAAGGTTTTGCTTTGCTACACATGAATTCAACTGCTCTTCTGCTAAAGTGGATAACATGAACGCTTTTGGGCCAATTTAAACTTATAGGCCAAGGGATGTCTAGAGTTTCGACTATGCCTGGTCATGACGATTCCAACCATTCCCAAGATTTATAGGAGATCGATCCTCTGCCACCAGGTTTGGTCTTCTGCCGCGGAAGATTAATCTGCAAAGGCTAATCGAACGATGTTGAATCGTAGAAGACAATAAGAGTTTTTTACAAACAATTTGAAGATAGGGAGGGTTTTGATGTGGACAGGGATAGTTTTGACTACGTGTTATCTGTTGTCAACTTTGACAGGAGGATACCATCTATAGATGATAAACAGAGCAATGAAGAGCTGCTGAAACCTCTCATACAAACAGCCATCGAAGAACACGATGAAGAATATGGAACAAAACTTGAGTATGTGAGTGCAAATATTACTACATGCATGAGTCTTATGTATTATATAGCACTTTGGGCTAGAGACCTAATCTCATCAAATCAAGAGCTTAAACTTTACCAAGCAAAGGTGTGCAAGTTTCGTGATGAGATCTCGGTTGTTATGGTCAGGCCAAGGTCGACTCACTAACAAAGTCGATACTCGATAAGGTTATTCCAAGGCCCGTTAGATTATTTGTCCCAGTCTGTTTTAGGAAAAAGGAATAATTTCCTAGAAAAGCCCTGTAAACGTATTGTGACATTGATCATCAGACGCTTTTACACCGAACTTTATACTCAAAACTAGTATAGACAAAAGCCAAACAAGACCTATCAAATGAGCAATGTGTAGATAAAAAAAAAGGTGAGAGGAACAATACAAAACTTCCCAAAGTATTAAGAAAATCAAAAACACAGAAGGAAAATGCTAAAACTCTCGCCCAAAACAAAAACTCAAAATCCAAAACTTTCAAGAACAACTCTTTGTTTCTGATTCACCAAAATAAGAAAATAAACACTTATAAAGTGTATATAAACTGAGCTCTTTCAGATATAACTTTAGAACTCTCAAGGTACGATGTTGTCTCCAAGAGACAGAGAAGCTAACTGATCAGCTGCACCACCAGCTTGCTGCTGTGCTACACTCCTCAGAACATCCATTGCTTCTGTAACTTTAGCTTTAAGTGCCTCTGGTGATTCCAGCAAGTGAAGTACTTCGGTTTGGTCCATTTCAAGAAGCATTCCCGTGACTTTAGCTGCGGATTCTGGCTCCAGCTGCTCCACAAGCGGGTATAGATTCTCACCAAGCATCTGTATGATGAAGAAACATAACAGGTTTAAGAAAGGCACATTTTTCTTAGTTGTTCTCGCTCTGTTAAAAACAAATCATTTGACTTTACCGTTCTCTGTTGCTCTGGAGCTGCATTTGCAAGTTGTGTAGCCAAAGCTCCAATAGGAACAGATTGAGAAGCAGGCGAGTCACGATGATGCACACCACCACCACTTGACACGTCATATGGAACAGAAAGCATGTTTGGTGTAAGACCAGGCATTGTGTTTACATCTCGCTGAGGATAACGATACATTCGACCTCTTGGATGCATCTGGAGAGAATGCAAAATGTTAGCATGCTAATGGTTTTAAACATGTGAAGGAAGTCTTGGGCCGAAAGCAAAACTTAACCTGCTGCTGCATCATAGGAGAAGGTTGTTGCTGTTGTGGAAGAGCTCCTCCTCTTCTACCACCACCAGGTCGCTGCTGCTGCTGCTGTTGCTGCTGCTGTTGTTGTTGCTGGCCTTGTTGCATCATAGGCATGAAGAAGTTTGGCATTGGAGACCCACCAGGTCTCATACCCGGTACAAGCTGTTGTTGATATCCGAATCCAGGCTGTTTGATACCCAGTTGGAGAAGAGAGTTATAAAGATTGGTATCTCATGCTTTTTGCTCAAAGCTTTGCGAGATTTACCTGAGGAGGAATCATAGCAGGAGGTCCTTGACCATAGAAGAGTTGCTGACCCATTGGTGGACCACCTGGTGGATACATTTGCATCCTAGGACCAACCGCAGGTGGCATATTGACAGGCCTCATCTGTGAAAATTGAGCCTAATGCCAGACAGGTAAAATTAAGCATGATGAGAATGGGATTATGATAATCCTTAAGGATAAAAACAGGGTTAAGTTAACCAGACCTGTAACCTAGCTTTGCGGTCTTCTTTCCGCTGCGCAAGAGCAACATATAGAGGTTTGGTAACAATCATTTTTCCATTCATCTCTGTAATCTGAACCACGGAAAAGAAGACATTGTTAAGCATTGGGATCCTTCCAGAGAATAGGTGATCAATAAAACTTGACATTTATGTTGTAGTCACTTACAGCTCTAGATGCTTCCTCAGGAGTTGAAAATGCGACAAACCCAGATCCTCTACTCACTCCAGTGGGGTCACGCATCACCTGTCATATTCAAATGTAATACATTTTAATCCAAATATGCTGAAAATAATAACAAGCAGCATTTTTTATTGTATCAGTCACAGACCTTGCATGATGTAATAGTTCCAAAGGGAGCAAAATGTTCTCTAAGCTTATCATCTGTGACACTCTCATCCAAGTTCTTAACATACAAGTTCGACCCCTGAGACTTGTCTGCAGCCTCCTTCAAACTTTGCTCAAATTTTTGTTTGAGTTCAGTTTCCCTCTCGGACTTCTTTTGGGCTTTCCCAACAAACCACTCCTTGTCGTCAAAGGTCTTTCCATTTAGAGCGTCAACAGCTCTGGCTGCATCATCCGAATTCTCAAAATTGACAAATCCAAAGCCTTTAGACTTGCCTTCACCATCTCTCATGATAACACAACTAGTAGTCACTCCGAACTCTCCAAAAACTTTGTTCAGCTCTTCATCACTCAAGGACTCGGAGAGGTTTTTGACATAAACATTAGTGAACTTCACTTTCTCACCCGAAGGATCTCTCTGCAGCTTGTGAACAAAAGGTCCAACATATACTTGCTTATCGTTAAGAAGCATTCCATTCAGTTTATCAATGGCTCTCTGAGCTGCTTCATCAGTGTCGTACTGCACAAACCCATAGCCTTTCGACTGACCAGAGGGATCAACAGCCACTTTGCAAGATAGAATGGGACCAAAGGCTGAAAATGTCTCGTGGAGTGCTTTGTGATCAATCGATTTGTCAAGATTCTGAGACACAGATAATATACCATGTCAAATAGGACATCAATAAATTAAACAAGCCAGGGTTTCTTTCCAACATTGTATAGACGTTCTAGGAAAAAGAGATTTAATATCTGTACCTTGATAAATATATTACCAACTCCGCTCTTACGGAGACTTGGATCACGAACAGAATACATAACTCTTATAGCCCTTCCATTGAGAGCCATGAAATTCAGCTCATTCAGTGCCCTGGAAGCTGTTACCAATCAGAAATATTAACATCAAAATCATTCATTTCTGTAATAAGAATAACATTGAACTTGCACAACATAACCTCAGAGTTAGAGCTATGACCTCAAAGAAAACTAACTTCCCAAACAGCCAAATACCCTGAAAGCCCACAATGTTACCAAATGTAACCACTTTCCAAATCAACCTTAAAGCTTTCACCTTTGTTTATAGTAAGTTCCCAAATTTAGATTAGCATTTGATATAATAATATAATAACACATCAAATTCGTTAAACAGAGAGACAAGATTAAACTCATACCCCAAATTCAATTGATGAGCTACAACGACTAATTCCCAAATCAGATTAAACCAAGAAATCTTTATCTAAAGAAGCGTTAAGAAAGTTACCATCTTGAGGAGTGGCATAGTTAACGTAGCCGTAACCAAGAGATCTCCGAGTCGTCATGTCTCTGCAGACACGAACAGAAACCACCTGACCCGCTTGGCTAAACGCCTCAAACAGCTGTGAATCCGTCACTGTCGCATCCAGATCGCCGACATACAAAGACGTCGTCCCTTGCTGCGCCGCTCCGGCAGCCGCCGCCGCAGCTCCAGCCGCAGCAGCAGCACCGGGAACAGCTACTCCACCATTGGCATTCTGACCCTGATGCTGAATCTGAGCCATTTTTCACTCTAAATTACCTATCTATCTTCTCAAAATCAGCTCAAATCAAAAGAAAAAGCAGAGATTTTTAGGAGATGAATCGTCGACGCCGGAAAATAAAAATTGAGTCTTTGAATCAGAAAAAGGAAGGGAAATGGGGAAGTAACCGGCGGCGAGCGTTGCAGCGTTGAGCTTTGATAAAAGGGTCAGAGGAAGTGACCTTATCAGAGAGAGAAGCTCAAATGAAAAAAACTGCAAAGAGGAAAGACAACCTTTGAGGTTTCTGTGTTTATATATGGAAGGTTTCACCAAACCCTAAAAGCTTTGATGGTAATTTGACAAATCTCAGCCGTTGGATTTACTCTGTGGTGTCGTTTTGTGGGTCACACTTGGATAAAATAGGCGTTGGGAAATATCTTAGCATTTTAATTTTTTATTCTTTTGGTAAAAGTAATTATTTTGTGATAAAAAATATACTATAACCGTATTCAGACAAAAGAGGAGTGAGTAATGAGATTAGAAAAACAAGAATCAGTGAATGTTTTGTAAGTAGTGATGTTTTAGTTACATATACATTATATATTTAAGAAAATTTGTTAAATTATTATATAATAAACTAGACGTTAACCCGCGGTACACCGCGGGTCTATATTTTTTTTAGAAAAATTTATTAAATTTTGTTTTAAGATACTCTATAGACTATAGATATATACTATTGTTTTGTTTAATTTAAATGTATAATACACCGTGAGACGAAATTTTATAGATAGACGTAGTATAAAAACAATAGATTCAATTGTATGATTTTGAATAAGATGCTGATTTAACCCGTCTTATACTGATTTTACCCGCGGTATACCGTATGCTAAATTTTAAATAATAAAATGAGGATTTAATATGTGTTATAGCGATGTATTAGTGATATTTTAAATTTATATTAATATCAATCCTAACCAAACCCGTGTCATTCAATTCGTCCCGTAATATTTAAAACTATTTTATAAAAACTCAAAAACCATAGCTAAATGGGCAAACAAAAGCCAAAAAATTTAAATATATCAATTAGAAATTTTTGAATTTAATTAGAAAAGATTGCTCCATAATTTTAAATCTTACGTCTTTAATGTATTTATGAAGATTTGATATTTGAATTTATTTGAGAACATTACTTATTTTTAGCAATTTCAGAAAAAGACATGGGTTAAAGCTTGAACTGATCCGATAATTAAGGTCTGAATTAATAGTTTTGCACCGGCCTTGTTATTTTATTTGTATTTTCTAATTATTTTATCACTATTCCAACCTTAATGATCCATGTAATTAACACTAACCTATTATTGTTAAATAATCACAAATATTAAAAATAATATGTTTAGAACTGCCATGAAAAAAAAATTAAGTATGCAACTTTCATTAGTTCACATAATGAAAAAATAAACACATAGAGTATTAGAACCCAATAACAAAGAATCATGTCTACCAATTTTGTAAAGACCTACAGAGCCCAATTTGTTTTTATTCAACTCTCTCATATACCCAAAATGAAAAACTTAGAAACGGAAAGTTCAAACTCAATCATCGGTGGTTTAGCAGATGAAGTCACCGTCGTTAACGGTCACAGTAACGGCTCCGTCGATCTGAGCCTTGTTTCTTCAAAGCTGCAGCAAAACGCATGGATCTACTCTCTGTGTAGCGTATCAAGGAGTTCCCGGCGTGTCTTTTGAAGCTACCACCGGAAGAGCATATCCGAAATCTGAAGATATTCGGTGTGATCAATTCGATGTTGCGTTTCAGGCGGTGGAGCTTTGGATCGCCGATCGTCTTGTTTTGCCAATCGAAACCTAAAGAATTACGATCTCCTCCTCGTCACCATCTTCACATCGTCGGCGAGGTTTAGATCCCGGTTCACCACTGTCTCCTAGCTCTTCCCGGAGTCCGTACAGATTGAATCACGTCTGCGATTTCTCATTTTCTGTAAAACTGGTGAGTTTTATTAGACTAATGAAAGGTATTTATTATGTTTTGAGAATAATATAGGGTTTTGGGTGAGTGAGTTCCTAAAATCTTGCTGATCAAGTACACAATATCTTCAAAATCTTTTATTTTTGGAATTGAGTAATTTTCTTGCAAATCTCGAAAAAAAAAAGAAATATAGGAAATATAATTATGAGTAATTAGTTGGGATGACAGCCAATGGTAGAGATTTTAGAAGGAAAGCGAGAGATTTTTGGCAACAATTTTTGAACGTAACATCTTTGATTTGGGAGAGATTTTTGGAATATGCTTATACCGAAATATATGTGTAATTATCTACATTAATGACGGGTTTTTTTAGATTTCCTTAAATGTCTTATCCAAGATCCGGATATAGTAAAACCGAGTAAAACCCGGATCCAAATTATTAAAAGCAAAAAACCCCTGCAAAAATATATATGTAGATTGTTATTTTGATTTTAAATTTATTGCAATTTAAATGGGCAATTGCCTATATTTAATCTGTTATTGTAAAAGAAAAATGACATAGCTTATTATTAGAATATTAAACAAATTTATTAACATAATATATATATATATATATATATATATATACTGTTAAAAAAATAAATACGTTTTTTTCTTTATAATTTCATAATATATGTATATATTGTTAAAATCTGGACATTTATTATGAGCATAAATATGAAAACGATTTTCCATTAAAATCGGCTATTTATTAGTGTCATTAATATGAAAGATATTAAGACAACATGACTTCATTTATTAGTTTAAAATTAAGACAACATCCCTTAAATTGCTAATCCAAGATCCGAATAGACTAAAACCCGGGTCAAACCTGGATCCAAAAGAATTAAAGCAAAAAAGTACTATAAAAATGTATATGTAGATTTCTGTAAGGTAAATTAGAAAGTCAAGTGATTTTTGTATTAAAAGGATAAACTATGAATTGCTGTAGTTCGTTCAGACATATTTTATTATGGGTAATAGTAAATACCATTGACCATGAAAAAAAAAAAAAAAAAAAAAATACCATTGACCATGCAAATTTATTAAAATAGGTAAAGTTTTTGATTTGCAAAAAGTATAATATGGTGTTACTTTAAAAAATATATATATATATATTTTTAAATATCATGCATTTATTTAACAATATGGTTATTATCTCTTTAATGATTAAAGTTTAATCTATAAAAAAAAAAACAATTTTGTTATCTATCTCTCCACATACATCATACATGTGATGTACTGATGTAGTGCATGGAACTAAAACAGGAGTGACTTTTGAAAAAACCTTTTCTAGCTTGCGTATGAGAATTTTTGAGAAGTTTTGAAATAGTTAAGTTGCAACTTCATACCTCAAGCTCAAGGGTATTAAAGGCTAAAGATACTAGATAATTAAAATGGGCCAGTAAATTTTGTGAACCGGTTTTTTGAGGTCTTGGAAATTCTGGAGTCTGGACCGACTTTCTAACTTTTGTTGGGCCCAATCTTGCATAATCTAAAATTAGTCGAACATATCCCTTTTTGCCTTTTCATATCTTTTAACGTGAAATGTGTGAGATTACCTTAAGTGTGTGCTAGATCTATGCGTTTGTATAATGAGAGAGTGTAACGAGTGTAAAGAGCATAAAGTAAAGGTGACACAGAGATTTCATAAAAGAGTTTGGTTAACAAACAATTGCTATATGACATCCTCCACTCTTTTTTAGAACTATATACAATGAAAGAGGACTATCACTAATTGTCTTTTCCGATTAGTGTAGATCTTCAACAAAACTATCAATAAATCTTCGAATTTCGTCAGTAGGGCAACGTCACACACATATATGTGCCTCTCTCCATAAACTCTAGACGCTCGTCTTCATGTCACCTGTCTCTTAGTATTTATATTAAGTGCCAAAAACCCTAAACGACCTAAGCCATGTTTCAAGTTTTTACAAACAATTGGGCTTGGCTTAAATAATGGCCCACGACCCATGTCGCTTTTTTGCTTTTACGTTACACCACAAAAGACTAAGTTTCGATCTCATCTTTCGTTCCAACAGCTTAATTCATGTTCCAGCAATATATGCACTTTCAATGTGTAATAACAATTTCCTCTCTTGTATTTTCTGTGAGAAGAAACTCAAGCATTACATAAACAAGTTTTTGCTAATTAAGAATGTAAATTGTGCTAATAGAGATATGTTTCGTTAACTCATGATCATGTGTGAAATTGAGCTAACCCTATGAGTTTATGTCAATGTTGTGGTAAGGCTGTTTATTTATTTTCTTTAAAGTGATAATTATTAGTTGAAGAATGATAGAATGTTATGTGAATTAGAAAGTTAAACAATGTTGTGAGTGAATTTATTTATGAACAAGTTTAATATTTTTAAGTGATCTCTAATCAAAAAAGTATATACACGTGGTGACATGGAAGGATAAAGCCTATTTATAAAAAGGTGAATTAAAATGGGAAAAATGTCGAAAAATGCGCGAACTTTCAAATTTGGGACAAAAAAAGCATGAACTTTCGAAATGTCATTTAAATCATAAAGTTTAGTTTGACTTTTGATTAAATGGTTAAGTTTTCGTTGACTTGACCATTTCGGACATGTCGTTAAATTTCCGTTAACGAGACGATGACGGGGTTAACTTTCCGTTAGAAATCTCCGTTGAATCGAAACGACAGAAAGTGCGATTCTTCACAGAGTCAGGTGATTCATTTTATTTTCCAGTGAAATGACGTCTTTTTGTTGTTTTGAAACCGACGTCGTTTCGATTCAACGGAGATTTCTAACGGAAAGTTAACCCCGTCAACGTCTCGTTAACGGAAATTTAACAACATGCCCGAAATGGCCAAGTCAACGAAAACTTAACCATTTTACAAAAAGTCAAACTAAAATTTATGATTTAAATGACATTTTGAAAGTTCATGATTTTTTTGTCCCAAATTTGAAAGTTCGCGCATTTTCCGACATTTTTCCCGAATTAAAATGGACCAGATATTACTTCGTATGAAGCAGGATTTATGGCGAGTTCAATTTATTTTCTCTGCCCATATCTTTACAAGCCATTAGTTTGCTATTCACTTGTTATATTCTTTCTGGTCGGAGTGATATTTTTGACATGGCTTCAAATAACGAATATTATTTTTCGGGGTGAAACTAGTTGTTAGAGCAAGTTCGAACAAATGGTCAAAACTTGAGTTTCACTATATATGGTATAGTGAAATACTTTCTAGTCATACCAAAAAAAAAAACCCATCAAACTAGTCGAAAAATGAGATACGGGAAGAGTAGTGAGCGAGAAAAGTGCCAACTTGAGTCGAGTAGCATAGGGGTGTGGATTACTTCTTGACCTGGATTAATTGGTTTACTTTTCTTGTTTCCCCACTTAATTTTGATTTACCAGTAATTTAATTATTTTATTGACATGCTTTTTTAGAAAATTTTTTCTCTATTTTCAGTTTGTTCTTTTGAAAACCAAGTTTTAGAGATGCTCTTATTGTTACAAAATAACACATCCATCTCAGAACGATCCTGTAAAAGCCACCGTCAACATACCTCTCTAAACTCAATTGATCCATCATTGTGTCATGTTCGAAAGCAATTTTTTGTATACGACAAAAAGTGAAATTTGGTCGACGTTTAGCCAAATTTGATGTTCTCTAATGAAAATTTTCACAAAAAGGTAAATCATCCAAAGAATGCCAAAAACTCCACATAGATAAATCGTTATTGAGAAATTTTTGCTCCGTTCAATTTTCTTTTCTAAATGTGGTATATTATATATCAGTAATTATTTATTTATTATTAGTTATACATATGTAAAATTTTACATAGTCTACTTGAAAATAGCAATAATTATTGTAGCTCCCACTACCCAAAAGACAATGTCCATTGACTTCACAAGCTTCTTAGTCTTCTCTATTTCTATGCTCTAAAATCTCTTTATATACATAGTCCCCATACTTATCCTCAAAACTCACCACAAAATCTCATCAACTCAATGGCTTCAATTCTCTCAATTCTTCTTCTCATTCTTTCACTTTCAAATCTCCACTTCACTTTACCTACCGGAAACAGCCACATTACCGACAGAAAATCCTTAGAGATCATTATCGGTGGTGGTGACGACGGCAATCCTCCACCGTCACCTTCACCAGAACCGGAACCGGAACCAGAACCTGCAGATTGCCCTCCTCCATCTCCTCCTCCTCCATGCCCTCCTCCACCTTCTCCTCCTCCATGCCCTCCTCCTCCACAGCTTCCACCTCTTTCACCACCGCCTCCACCACCGTCTCCACTGCCGCCTTCACCACCGCCTCCACGGTCGCCTAAAAAGCCGCCTTCACCGCCTAAAACCTCCCCATCGCCGCCAAGGTCTGATCTATTTGCGAGCAAACTAATAGCGAAAGTCTTTCCAGTTCTTCAAAGATTCAAGAAACTAGTCGAAAAGGATCCATTCCATATACTTGATTCTTGGGTAGGCAATGACGTTTGCAACAAATACAAAGGACTCAAATGCGCGGTTTTGCCAGGAACAAAAAGTCTCGCACTCGCGAGCATCCAGTTTAATGGGTATAAATTTGGAGGCAAGAACCTCCGGTTAGATGACTTCCTCGACAAGTTAGAAGAAGTCACCATCTTCCACGCAAACTCCAACGATTTCATAGGCTCTGTGCCTGACATCAGCAAGTTGACATACTTATTCGAGCTCGATCTAAGCAACAACAAACTCACCGGAGATTTCCCAACCAATGTCTTGATGAAAAACAATCTCACGTTTCTTGATCTCAGGTTCAATTCTTTCTCAGGCTCTGTTCCTCCTCAGGTCTTTAATCTCGACCTTGATGTCTTGTTCATCAACAACAACAATCTTGTTCAGAAGCTTCCAAGCAATCTTGGATCCATCACTGCTCTTTACCTCACCTTCGCCAACAACAGGTTAGTTTCTTCTTTTTTAATCGTCAACTCTTTTTAATTTCTATATATAGTGTTTAAATGGTATCGTATTCGATAAATAATTTATTTTTTCATATAATATTTAACTCGGATTCTATTTTAAAAAATCAGCTGATTTAGTAACAAATTACAATGTTTAAAAAATAATTGTCAATTCAATCTAAATTGTCCTCATATTTTAATTTGTTTTTGCGCCCTTATTTACAGCTACTAGAGACAGTATGATTATTATTATTTATTTTTATTTTTTTTATGAATGAGTGTGTGATTATTGAGTAGCTAAATTATTATTTTGAACATTTGTTGTGATATGACTTAGGTTCACGGGTTCAATACCCGAGAGCATAGGCAACATCAAGTACCTACAAGAAGTCCTTTTCTTGAATAACCAGTTAACCGGATGCTTACCGTACCAAATCGGAAACCTAACCCGAGCCACTGTTTTCGATGTTGGGTTCAACCAATTAACCGGTCCAATACCGTACTCTTTCGGTTGCTTAGAAACGATGGAACAACTCAATTTAGCCGGAAACAAGTTCTATGGAACCATACCGGAGATCGTATGCGAGATTGCTTGTCTCAAAAACGTTTCTCTCTCGTATAATTACTTCACTCAGGTTGGTCCGAAATGTAGAAAACTCATCAAGAGAAAAGTTATGGACGTTAGTATGAATTGTATACTTGATCTTCCAAACCAGAAAACGCCATCGGAGTGTGCTAAGTTCTTCATGCGGAAACAGACTTGTCTTAATTCCAAGTCTTTGTTTACTGTCCCTTGTGGTAAGAATCCAAACCGAGTTAAACCGGATCAAGAACGATTGGAGGAGGAAAAAGCTCGAGTTTCTCATCCGGTATCTTACAACACACTTAACCCGGACCGGATTCGGAATCTATAACCTTGGTTATTAATTATTATGAAGTAACTATATATATAGCCAAGTTGTTTATAATTTGAGGTGTCTAATGCAATATAAAAGAATAAATGTATTTGTACTTGTGTAGTTTCGGATCATCACTATATGTATTTTCATTATTGTATAATCCATCCTTTTTTTTTATAAAACATCTTGTTTTGTATGAATCACTGCAAACTTTTTCATCCAATGGTGGATATCATCGGTCAGATTGCTCATGTGTGCAGTGTATCCACTCACCATTGACTAAATCAAGAAGTTAATGGGAATCATCCTCCATAATGAGCCAACGGAAGCCTCTAATCCAAAGGTTTTGTATGACATTAATGAAACATCATTTTTTTACTTTTTAATAAAGAAAATAATAGAACTTCACCCAATATTGTAAGTGGAGCAAAGCAAAAAATAGACATGTGAATATCAAATGTCACAAACCATCAACATCTAACATGTAGCTGTGTTTTTATTGTATGTTTTGGAGCTTCTTAAATTGATCTACTGAAGTTATGTGGTTCCTTTTGTGACCAAGGGTTTGCAATGTTGTTATCTCTAATTTTTGGCAACTAGTGTAAAAAGAAACATGGAACCATGTGTATTATTGTATATAAAGGGCACAACAATTGACATCTTATTTTTATTTCAATTTGTTCTTTTGTCATTAAATACTTTTTGTTATTTAGAGAAATAACAACTAGTTTATATATAGTTGGTGTCTAAAAAAGAAAAAAAATAAAAGCAGTCCGAATTACCGTTCTTTTAATTACTCTGAATAAGGACTCTCCTTCTCCAACTTGCACTTTTTTGATAACTCAGAGTAAATCCCTAAGTGTATAGAAGAGCCCAAGACTAATCTCTGGAGAAAGGGTGTTCAACGGGTAGAGTTCTACCCAGGTTTTCAAATGGGCCGTAAACAATGGGTCCGTACCCATGTGGTCAAAGGGATAAAGCTGAGTAATTCTGCGTCCGGAAAGAATTGATCTCTGGCTTAGACCAATAGGGCGACTCTTCCACCAGGCTAGAACCACTAGCCCACCACCTCTGGTCCTCTGGTTCCAACTTGCACTTCAGAGTGCTCTCTACCACATTTGGAAAAAAAAGAAATGCTCGTTCAGTCTCTCGGAGATCGTCTGCCATAACAAATCGCTAATATATGGGTTTGGTACTCGGCAGTGAAAGAGAGAGCCATGTCAATGTCTCTTCTTCTGTTGTCATCCTATTATTCTCTATACCTTCTTAATCTTTTCTAAATTCTAAAACAAGGCAATTGTAGTAAGTTTTTAATTAAATAAATTTTACATTCCAAAAAAAAAAAACAGTACTAGAGTACACATAGATATGTAAATATAACCTTTCCAGTGGAATTTTTTAAAAAGGTTCCCGACAATATATAGGTTCTGACTAGTTATGGTAAAAATAATGATCACATGTCGGTAGCTCGACTGAAAAAACACAAAAAGCTAAATTTAGAGGTCACAAGTTCTAGTGACACTTGAGAGGAGACTATATATATATTACATGTTTTGGTCCTCCACTTGAGCTAATGTATTAAATTTTAGATGACACAAGTCACAACATTTTATCGCGTTTAAATCCTAAATGGCATCGGTACAACAAACTATATTACATTTTGTGGTCAAATAAAATAACATTTTTTTTTTATCAAAACTTAACATGTTCTAATTTAGATTTTTAGTTATTAAATAACTTTTTTGACATTTTTATTCACTTGTGCTTTCACTTTTCGTTTATTCGGTGACTAGTTCGTATATGATTAGGAAATTTAGAATAATGAAACTAACCATTACACTTATCTAAAAAATCTAAAAAATCAAAAACTAACCGTTACTACAAGAAAAGTTTAAAATTTTATGGAAGAGATGACACAAAGGTGACAACTAGTGACAACAAACGCAGAAAGCCTTTGGTTATGGGAGTTGCTTCTGGTGGCTCAGTCTTTCTTACTATCCACATTTGCCGTCACCCTGCAGATTATATTGAAAAATTTAACAAACCGTCAAATTTACATTACGACTTCAGATTCAAAACAGGTAAAGAAAATGACCTTGCACGCTGCAAAGTTATCGCAACCGCATATCAAATTGCCATTCGCAACATCAACCGCTTGCGGAGCTCCTCCACCATCACTTCTCTGAACTCTCACACACACAAAAATTAATAAGACGAGATCCAGATAATCTTCAAAACCTACAACTACCAATATAGATGTACCTTGTAGAAATCGACTGCTATAAAGTTAGGCCATCGCTGTCCTGCGGCTTGGTAACATGTCTTGATGGATTCAAGAAGAGAAGCAGAGTTTTGTTTACATGCTACTATCAAATCCGCAGCATCAGGGAAATGGTTCACAAGAACAAGAGATTTCGATTTATCGCTCATCGGTGCTGATTGAGCTCTATTTGGACACACTCCTACCTTCAGTCCTCCATTTCCATCTGCAATTTGTTTTCATTCATTAACAAAAAAAGATATTCACACAAATTTCAAGATTAAATGGTTTGAATCATATATAGAACTCACATTGATTCTCAACCATATACTTCCATTGATATGCGATCCCTTCGGTTGCTTCTTTATGTGAATCGGATGTAAAAACTAGCAACCGTTGGTTTTGTCGTACCATGTCATCAAGCCTTGGCCAATCCCCTCCATTTTTGGGCATTCTAGCTACCGGAAACATGAACTTTCGTAGCCCAGCCGCATCAAACACTTTTGAGAGACCTTTAGGCGATTTCACATAGTCTTCAATTATAATCGTTACAACTTCCTCTGTGTTCTTCTCTAGAAACACTTGAAACTCCCTTAAAATGTTAATCGCCGGTTGCTACCACATTGCACACAAAAACAAAAGATCTTCAACATTTTCGCGGTGGACCAACCTTACTATACATCATACAACAAGCAAAAATGTATCAAAACTTACAAAAGCTGTGAAATTGAAACACGTTCCATCGAAAGAATGGCAAAGCCAGATATCGTTTTCGAAGTCATACATGTCGAGCATAAACCCTCTTACACCATTCTGCAATAATTAATCCAACAAAAAGATTCACACTTTTGAAAGAAATCTTAAAAAGGGTTTACTAAAGTTTGAAACTTTGTTTACATTGAGTTGGCTTGTGATTGAATCTTGCTGGTTAGTAGGCGCCAAAATCACAGAACCGGTCCTTGATACTTCCCCCAAACGAGCAAAGGAGTTGTGTGTGGTTAACCATGAATACTTGTTGAAAGGCAATTCCTTTGCCTTGGAGATGGGGTTTATGGGTTGGGTTCGGGAGCATCTAGGTCTAAAATCAGTGTTGGCTATACATGTTTCGCAGTGTAATCCAGCGTCACAGTTGCTGTTTGTTATACATGTTTTTCCTTCCTACGATCCAAAACCAAATAAAATCAATAAAGAAATATAAGATATTTCAAATGACCCAAGAACCAGAGGATCTTGATTAAAACAAGATTTTTAGACTACCAATTTCTATAGTTCTCGCTGAGTTAATAGTATGTTTCTCGAAAACTAATAAAGATCCTCTGTTTTTTGGTCGGAACAGAGGACAGACACAAATGTAAGTGTGGTAAGATTTGATGAGATTTGTTACCTTGAGAGCAGAGGAAATCTTAAAAAGGAAAGAAGATTGAATCAGAAGAGCTATGAGAAGGAAGAGTAATGATCTTTGAAACATGGCTATCTTCGCCAAAAAGTAAAAACCCAAAAATTTAAGAAGAAGAAGAAGAAGCAAGAAGCTACTTCATCATGATGTTAGATTAGATTGGTTGGTGGTTTGCATTTGCGTGTGAAGATTCTTGTGACCAAGAAACAACAAATAAAATAAAATGAATAATGAGAGGATTTTAAGGATAGAAATAGAGTGAACGGAAGTGCGCGTGTGTCGGTGAAGTCATGATGATAATAAATGCTGCAACAAAAGTGGGTTTGTTGGTTTGCCACTTTTCTTTTTCATGCACTTTTTTTCTTACATTCTCAAATATATTTGTATTTTCACTTTTCTTTTAAATCACCATTGGTCTAGAACTCTGAAGAACTCGACCAACTATGCCTTTTTCAAAACTGAAACGGTGAAACCCGAAAAGAGAGCCTTTCCATTATCATTAAAGATATCATTCTAGTTTTTGCCTGCAACTTTCTTACAACATAACAACAATGATAATGGAAGGACATATCACCAATAATAATAAAATGAGTTATTTTGGTAATGGTTTTTACATAAAAGGAAAAAGACTAACACAATAAGCTTAGACGATGTTAAGGCAAATATGGCATGACAGCATTTAGCCCAAACACTTTGTAAAGTTTGCACGCAAGTGCATACCTTCTTCCGAACAAAGCTTGACACGTCAATTTCCCATTTAACTATTTTCACATTTCTTCAAAATTTGTTCTATAAAAACCATTTTCCATTCAATCGGCCCAATCTAAGCCCACTTTGCTACGTTTATAAACCAAGTCAAAAATGTCCTAAACCAGTTCACATATAGTTTGGTCAGCTTTTTCTTATCAAAAGATTTCGGTTCGAGTACGGCAAAGTTTGGGATAGGTATGAATCCAACTCGAAGTTGTAAATTATAAATCATGGACATTTGGCACAAGGACAAACAATTTTCATATAGTTTGAAAAAACCCTGTTTTTCTTTTTCAAAATCTTGTTTTTACTGGGGTAGGGACCCAAACCCTGAGCTCTTAAGCCTCTAAATTCACACTCACATTTGTACTATTCGTGAAATCTTTTCTACATTGATTCTTTTACCATTTATGAATTTGCAAACTCAATTACATGTGTAACCTTTTCGACTATCATACAATCTACATAATCATGTACTTAGAACCGACTCAATAATAATTACCTAAGTTATTTGTTAGTTACAAAGTGGATCACATATATTGTTTCATTCAAGATATCCGCTTCGTATCCAACCCTACGTATGACCGTATAAACGCTTTGTATATGGTATTACTAGAATATTTTAGGAAAAAAATTCCATACAATAAATCTAAAACCTAACAAAAAATATTGCAGTTGAGGTCTGAGATATGACAGGGTGTTGCACATGTGAGTGAGACCCTACCAACGTTATGTAGACCATTTCCATTTGGGTTCACATTGCTTCTTCCATTTCAATATTTTTGAATTCGATGTAGAATCTATATCGAAAACTAAATTTAGGATCAATCCCAAAGCACTCGAACCCATTAGTGATTTTATCCCTATGTCGCTTTCACTTCACCAAACACTTCATAAATGCTTGTTTGTTTATTTTTTAACAAGCAATATATACCTTTCTTTTTCTCCAAGAAAAGGACAAAGGTATAATTATTCGTTTTATCACAAAGTAGAATATTTGTTCGTAAAATTAATTTTGAATTAACAATTGTAGTTACAAACTTACAATCATACAACGGATGTGTTTTTTTTTTTTTAATCTTTAAAACGAATAAAACAAATAAAATTTAATAATTAACGAAATGGCATGACATGAGACATCATGATACAAACATGCGACCTTCATTTTAATTTGTTTTCAATTTTTAATCCGACTACTAATCATCTATTGAGTTGTGTTGGTCCAAATCATTATTTCACATGAAAGAAACTAATCTAATTATCATTTTTTTGAATTTTAAAATTTTAATGTTTCCTTAAACATTCACAAAATAATGTCGCATTGATGACATAATATGGTGGTAAATTATGTATTTAAAAAGAATAAGGAGGTTAAATTAAGAGGAAATGATAAAGTTAGGGGCTTTATTGCAATTTTAGTGGTTTTTGATCACGAATTGAATGAATAGTTGACAAGTCTAGAATTTGTCTTTTTCCCTGTCACTTGTCAGTGAGTATACAAAACTATACACAGAGAGGCCTCGAATGTCATATTCACACAGGGACCTTCCGTTAAACTCCTTTTTATAATCTCTCATTCTCTCTTCTCTCTCTCTCTCTTTCTGGTTGCTCTTGGCCATGGTTGTGAATAGTCAAGCTTTCTTGTTGGCATTAATTGCATTACTTGCTACCCAATTGCCTTCACTAATGGCTTCAGGTTTCTCTTTTTCGATTTTCCTCTGTTTGCTTCTCTCTTAAAGCTTCATTTTTTAATCCTGTTTCTTGCCTAAATCAGGATAAGATGATGTTAATGTTGAATTTTGAGCTTCTGGGGTTTGCAAATTTTGTTGCTTTCTTTGACTAGATTTAGAGTTTCGATGGAAATTCGCATAATTTAGGTTCATTAGTTGCTTACATGCAAATACTCTGTTTGTGAATTGAAACCAGATCTTGAGAAACCATAAAAATTCAAGCTTTGTTTGTTTTTTTCAAGCTATTGTGGTTAGAAAGTTTAAAGGTTGAAACTTGTGGACCAATCTTTCTAGGTTTTGAATCAAGTCTCCGTTGTGTAAAACTTGTGGACTAATGCTGCATTGTCATGTGTGTTTGCAGATTGTCCATTAGATTTCAGTGGATCAAATTTCACTCTAGTAGCTTCTGTGTGCTCCAACATAACCAACAGAGGCAAATGTTGCCGCTACATGAACGCTTTTGTTGCGGTTTCCGTGGCTCGTTACGCTAACTTGTCAACAAATCTTGGAGTCACATCAGATTTATCTGAAACCTGCATTGCTTCCATCTCTAGAACCATGGAGAGCTATGGAGTCTCGAGAAATGCCACTAGTTTCTGCGGTTTGGGAACCAAGATCCTTGTTAAGTATGACTGTGAAGGTCGAACCACTGTAACACAAATGCATCAGTCTCCGGGATTTGGACATGTTTCTAGAAACTGCAGACTCCCATTTTCTCCGGGACACCAATGCAGGAAGTGTTTGAATTCTGGTATCACTTACCTTCGTAATCTCATAGGTGCAGAGACTAATAACATTACATTGAGTACTTGTCGTGATGCGACTTATGCTACATTAGCAAGCCGAATTGACGATGCCTCGGCTCTTGAACTCCTTGGTTGTTTCTTTCAAGTGACAGAGCTTAGCATTCCTTCAGGTTAGACACATGACTTGCAATTTTCTTAGTATCACTATCACATCAGTTTTTGGTCAATCTGTTTTCATCTGACTTCATTCAAATATGGACAGAGTCATTTTCACCATTGGCAAGTCCAGAACCTTCTCCAAGCACAGTTGGTGCTATTAGCCCAAGCAACAGTGATTCTCAAATGACTACAAGTAGAAGCACCAATCCATATCACTTAACAATGGTTCCAACCATTGGGATTGTTGTTACAGCTGTTGCTCTTACGATGCTCGTAGTCCTGGTAATTCTTATCCGTAGAAAAAACCGGGAACTTGATGAATCTGAGAGCTTGGATAAGAAGTCAACAAAATCAGTTGCTTCTTCCTTGCCTGTATTCAAGATTCATGAAGGTGTGAATATAGAAAGTTGAGTTCTTCGTTTTATTTTATCATACCAAAGAAGAGACTTGAACAATCTTTTTTCTGCAGATGATTCTTCTTCAGCTTTCAGAAAATTCAGCTACAAGGAAATGACAAATGCAACGAATGATTTCAACACAGTGATTGGTCAGGGAGGTTTTGGTACTGTTTACAAAGCCGAGTTCAGCGACGGTCTGATTGCAGCGGTGAAAAAAATGAACAAAGTCTCTGATCAAGCTGAACAAGATTTTTGTAGAGAGATAGGGCTTTTAGCTAAGCTGCATCACCGTAACCTTGTTGCTTTGAAAGGCTTTTGCATTAACAAGAAAGAAAGGTGACGAATCATGCATTACTTTTTCGCCTTCTGCATTTATCTAAACCGTAAAATATAGAGTATATACTCATCTTCTTTTTCCAATCCTCCAGGTTCTTGGTCTATGACTATATGGAAAATGGCAGCTTAAAAGATCATTTACATGGTATGTATATGTTTCTTCTACATTAAGTTTACGAATCCAGAGTGTTGAATACTTTTCTTCTTTCAATTTTTTTCCTTTGCAGCCATTGGAAAGCCTCCACCTAGTTGGGGAACAAGAATGAAAATTGCAATTGATGTGGCAAATGCTTTGGTAAATATTCCAAAGTCTTTCATCTACATTTTCTCTGTAAACTGATTTGATAATACATCTTTTACAGTTTTTGGTTCTTGGCTGCACGTTGTTCTCTCCTCCAGGAATATCTTCATTTCTACTGTGATCCTCCTCTGTGTCATAGAGACATTAAATCAAGCAATATATTACTCGATGAGAACTTCGTTGCTAAGGTATGTAGCATTTGTATCTTCTGCGTTAGAAAACCTTTCAAAAGTTGTTGGAGAAACCTTTCAATGATGTTTTTTTGGTGCAGCTTTCAGATTTTGGCCTTGCACATTCGTCTAGAGATGGCTCTGTTTTCTTTGAGCCTGTGAATACCGATATCCGTGGAACTCCAGGTTAGTGAGAGATACTGAACAGACTAACTTGACTACTTTTGATGGAAACAGAGTTTTAAGAATTTGAAGTTTTTTCAGGTTATGTAGATCCAGAATATGTAGTAACGCAAGAGCTGACAGAGAAGAGTGATGTGTACAGCTACGGAGTTGTGTTGCTGGAGCTCATAACCGGGAGAAGAGCAGTTGATGAAGGCAAGAACCTTGTGGAAATGTCTCAGCGAAATTTGTTGACGAAATCAAAACACCGGGATTTGGTAGACCCGAGAATCAAAGACTCCATTGATGATGCTGGAAGAAAAGAGCTTGAAGCAGTTGTGGCGGTTGTGAGATGGTGTACCGAGAAAGAAGGCCGATCTAGGCCATCGATTAAACAAGTCCTGAGGCTGTTGTGTGAAAGCTGTGATCAGTTGCATAGTGCATTTGCTAAAGCTGTTGAGGAAGAGATAGGCTGGGATAGTAGGAAGAGAAGCAATTTGAGAATTCAAAGAGGCGATTCCCGGATCTTTGGTCCATCGTCTAGTACTACTTCCAGGTCACATTACAGCCGTAGTTTACCTCACTCTCCAATTAATGGACTTTCTTTCTGAGTTAGTCACATCTTCTCTATAGCTAAATCTGAAAGTTTACATATATATATGAAAATTATGAGTTCATATTGAAAGCTCTGATACTCTGCACTCTTAGTTAGATTCAGCTCAAAGATTTCTACATTGTAAGAGTCTCTCTGTAATCTCTCCTGTACAGTAGCACTATCATCTATTACATATTAGTCTCCCAATGTCTTCTTTTTGGTGATGTATTACATTAGCAGGCTCTTCTTGCTTTGACTTCACCTTCTTACCACGGACCGGTAAGGGTTCTTCTCAAGCATTGTCTTTTGGCCAGCAGTGGAGGCTGCTTCGACGATTCCTTTAGCTGCCAATTCAAGAAGTAGTATCAGTGAACAGTGTACCATCAAAGAGACAATAGAGTCACATTTAGACAAGACACAAAAGTCTGTTAATGTAGAGACAAGGATGCTGTATACATGAAATACAAAGAAAATTTTAAAAAGTATCTCCAAATACCTCACTATTCTGAGTTTTCATAATTTCAGCCTGCAACATAGGGAGACTTCAGTTAAATAACTGAGCCAGCTAGATTCTCTATGGAGAAGCAATAAAAAAAGGTAGAAAAAAAAACCTGTTTTTTCTGCAAATCTTGATTCATTTGCTTGAGACTTTCGATCTCGGCTTCCAGTTCCAAGGTATAAGCCTGAGGTTTAACCGAAGAATCAAAATCGATATCAAAGTTCTTAAAAAGAAAACGGTAATGACAGTTTGGTTAGATTAACACTTTACCTGCTTTCGAGCCCTTGATCTAGCAGCGGATTCCCGATTCTTGATCATTCTCTTTTGCCTTCTCTCAACAACCTTCTCCAGGCCGGTATTGCTTCTTCTTGCCCGACCAAACACATAAGGAACTGGTGATGACCAAGCATTGTTTTCTGCACTGCTCGTCCCAGGAGAAGTAGCTGTAACAGTGGCCCCTGCTCCTCCCATATTACTGTTGACTGGACCATCTGCGCCAGTCTCAAATAAACCCCTGTTGACCATATTCACAGGCGCTGCAAATGTCACATTCGTTTGTTTTGGAAAGATAGTTGGAGGCAGTCTCTGATGTGGCTGCTGCAACTGCTGCTGATGTGGCTGCTGCTGCATGGTTCCACCAACTTTGAGGCCTAAACCAGGTGCTTTATTCCTGATCATAGAATTATTGTTGCCGTTGAACGATATGCTGTTTTGATTCGGCTGACCAAATCCAAACCCCAAACCAGCAGCACCGTTGTTAGCATAAAACCCGGTACTACTGTTTTCGTTCTGCTGAGCATTATCTTCTTTAACAACGCCAGCACGGAGCAAGAAATCCTCCAGAGTCATTTCCCCTAAAGTCTGTTGCCTCTCAGGCGCATCCGTTCCAGTATTCCCATTGCTACCTTCTTTCGAATTCAAGTATTTCCAGACTTCATCGACAGTCTTCTGACTAAGCGTTCTAGGCAAAGTCAAGGAGCCTTGCCTCTGTAAAGCATTCCCTCCCGGAACACAACCACTAGGTCTCGCTGCTGCAACCGAAGATGTAGCAGTCATAAAGGCTTGACTATCCTCAGTAGTCCATATGTTCTTGAGTAGCTCATCCATATTCATTGACCCAAAATCTTTCCCTGGCTCACCTAATGTACTCTGAAGCTCATCAAACGTTAAGGAATATAACGAAGACTGCCTCGCCAATGGCTTTGACTGGTTAGCATTACACTCATTCCCTCCAGACAAATCGCCGCCTAAGTTGTTGAAATCGATGTGAGTACCCATACTTCTTCTCTGTTTCACAAGAAATCACTTCCTTCCAATTCTTCAGTGGAAAAAAACAAACGAATCAGACCCTTTTAGCTTTACCTAAGAGATAGCAATACCAGAAAAATTGAAACCGGTTTAGGAGTAGATCACACAAATATGTATCACATAGTGTTTAAGTATACTTGCATAAGAGCAAGCAAAGAAGTCCAAAGCAAAAGAGAGGAACTTTCATATAAATGTCTAAACTTTATATAGTTTTAGCCAGAAGCAATCAATCACAGACATATCACAAAAGTTTGATCCAGAGAGTATAAATTGGATCCTTGGTTTCAGAGAAATCCTAAAGAAAAAGAAGATTGATTCAAAGTCCATAGCTTTGACCATTCTTGAATAAATCCAGAAGATAGATCAAGAACCCAACAAGAAGATGACAGATCTATTACAGATTCCGGAGTAAAAGCAAGATCACATAAACCCTCGAGAAGAAAAAGAAAAAAAAGTCGTATCTTTAAATTCACTAGAAATAGTTACTTCTTTCATTACTACTACTACTTGATTTAGAACATAGAACAAAAAAAGACAAATCTAATAATTATGAATCGGACCAAAAAAAAAAAGCATAACACTTCAGGGGATGTGATAAGACAAAGACAGATTCCAAAAGAAAAAAAAAATGAAAACGGATTAACAAAAATAAGGAAGCTTTACCTAATATTATTGGCGATTGCTGAAAATAGAGAAGAGCTGCGAGAGAGAGAGAGAGACGACAAGTGTGTTTGTAGTAGCTTCGACACGAACTGCCATTTTAAGGGGTTAAGCTTTTTCCTTTTAAGGTTTTTTTTTTTAATTTAATTTTTAGATATTTTGCTTTCATTTTTTTGTAATAAACTAATAAATATCTCGTTTTAATGATTATTAAATTTGTTAAAAATAGTCACTTAATTTAGCTGACAACCACGTTCATGTCTAACCAATAAGAAGCTGTAACGTGTGAGAACTTTAGTCGTTGATGGTGTCCTTTGCCTTGTTTTCTTTAAAAATGGGATTAAATCTGAGACAAATATCCCATATTAAGGCTTAAATTTTAATTCGCCAATCGAATTTCAAGAATTTTTTTAATATTGATTATGTGTTATATACTTCAAAATTTTGCTTCAACAATATATCGCTAAAAAACAAACTGAAATTTATCATTTTTGAATTGCACTAAAATTTTGTTTGATTTTTGGTTGGCTAATTTTTTCAAAACCAAATTTAAAAAATTCCAACGATCATCTGAAATTTACGAATGTCTAGTCCTACTTATGGTGTTTACAACGATCAAAGAGAAAACCACATGGTGATTTATGTCTTTGATCCAAATGATGAATATTATATACCATCAAAATATTCATCATGTGGATTTTATATTATTATCATGTCGGTCGGAACACCAAATGTTAAAATTATGTGCCAAATTAAATTTAATATCATGTTGTTGTTACTCTTCTTTTTTTTTTTGGGGGCAACAAACATGTTGTTGTAGTCATGTAAGATATTTTGTGTGCTTGTTAAATTGGGATTATTATTATACATAATAAATTCTGTTGAAAAAAAGCAGAAGTGGGTAGTGAATAGTGATTCTTTTTAGGTCCCATCATCCCAATGGTGTGCGAATTTTGACACCAAGCAATAATAATTATATATCAAAGCAACCCAAAAGAAGAAGACTTGCGTCGAGTTTAATACAATTCACTTCCAAATTTGGAAATTTTGCCCTCTCCTCATTTGGTAAATGGTATGTTGATGATTTCTACTTCTTTATAACTTGATAACTTATTTTATTTAAAAGAATTGTCCACTTTTTTGTGACGCTGGACCAACGTATAGAATGAGCATCAAACCATGATAGAATCCACCTTCATTTTTTTTTTTTTGAGATAATTAGATGAGAGACCATGAATCAATCAGATGTAAATTAATTTTTTAGTAATTTGACATAAAGTCTAAAACAATAAAATATTTAACTTCTCATTTTGTCAACTTTAACCCTACACGCTTCTGATATTTAGATTACCAATCGGTCTATTGCATAAGACAAAACTATTGACTTTTGCCGTTCTCGAGATGATAAAGCGTGTTATATCTAACTAGTTATTATAACTATCCGACTCTCGGATGTCTACTTTCTCTCTTGTTCATCATCCCGCATTTTCATTATGTGAACCATAAGTTTCATCCACCTTTAACATATCCGGTAACTGTTCAACCACACTCCAGCAAAGCAGAAATATAGTCTTGCTTCTTTTCCTAAACGCGACGCCGAAGAAATTATCATCATTGAAACGGTAAGTCGGATGTAGCGTGTATACAAATATTCAAATGATAATAAAAAATATTAATAACGCTTTATATATGTGTTTACATATATACAAATGTTAATAACACTATATATACATGTTTTTTTTTTTTTTTTGAATATTAATATTAATGGGCTTCCCAAAAAAAATTGGGCCAAGGCAATGGGCCGTTACAAAGCAAGACATTTACAAAATTGAAAACCCTAAATCCAACTCATCACTAACGAAGAAGCTCGGAATCTGCTGACGACCTGAGGCAACGGCGTGAATAGTAACTTCGGCGAAAGCAAGAACAACAACTTCGCGGCAAAGGCTCCGGCATAGGACCCAAGATCAAAAGCTTTCGGATTCCAACCAGGATCCTAACCATCACCTCACCAAACTCGTTACGGATCTTCCGATCTGTTCACTGCCACCAACAACAGACTCTACCGGTGAAGGCCCCATGCCTAGTAACCTTACACACTGGATTCTCACCCCTCTCCATCAAATCTGACGATTTTGGAGAACTCCGAACAAAGAACTTGTCGAACCGGTCCGGTGGATGCTAAAACTCGTGGTGGAACAGAGGAATCAGGATGCTCACACTTTCTTCCTCTTACCAGAATCCACCAGCGCCGTCTAAGAGCCCGAGAGCTCTACAGCTAACCACCGTGACACCCAGCGATACCCACCAATCCCCCACCGACTTCCGCCGTAGACACATCTACCATTCTGATGGTTGAGCCGCGAGAAGAGCTCCGTTAATCCACTGACTGGCGTTCTTAACCACGTGTGGTCGAACTTCTGATCTCCTCGCACCACCTGAACAGAGACACGAATGCATCAGACAGGGGTAAAAACCACTCCTCCGCCGCCGGAGACGAAGACTTGCTCACTCAGGTCTTGCAAAAGCAACTCCAAGACCTGCAATCATAGCTCAATCCCAACAAACCTGTCACGTGAAACCGGATCCGACAAGCAAGGCGCAAGACACCGTCTGGGAGGAGGATATCTGCAAAACCAGTGAGAGACTCACCGGAAGTCGACCCCATGAAACTCAACCAAAGCGAAGCCCCCACCCACTCCTCACCAGAGCCAACCAACCCACCAGAGACACACCGACACTCGAAGAAATCGCCAACCCAGATCCGCCAGAGAAAAGCCACGGGATCGATGAAGACATGAAGCGACTACACCAATCCATCACCGGAGACCACCACCCGACGATTCGACGCGCCACGCGTCAGAAAAGCACACTGGAACCACCAACAAGAGAGGACCCCGAACGACACCACAAACCAGCCTCACCGCGGAAGGAAACAACGGCGACAGGAGGATCTACTAGAAGCTAAGGAGAGGACCCCTCTCCGGCGCCGGAAGGGCATGTCGGAGAAGCAAACGGAGAAAGATCTAAAAGCTTGAGAGAAGGGAGAGAGTTTAGAGAGAGAGAGTTCACTTTATGTTTACATGTATATAAATGTTAATAATGCTCCACGTACATGTTTACAATTATATGAATGTTAATAACACTCTATATACATGTTTACATGTATATAAATGTTAATAATGCTCTATATATGTATTTACCGAACTATTTAACACTATAATTATTTCTAACGCTCTATGTATGTGTTTATATGTATACAAATGTCAGAATTGTGTAAAATATTCATTTGGGTGTCCATGAAACTAGGTTAGTGGTCTAAAAAATTCGAAGAACTATTTATTGGGTGTCCATACAACTATGTTAGTTGTTTACATTTTTTGATTCCCGTCTAAAACTGTTTTAATTACAGATTCAAATTAGATAAAGTTCAAATAAAGTCGTTTGCATTTAATAACCATCACCTCGTTATTCTGTCAACTGATGAATATTTATTACATATCAGGTTGTACTTTCGATGCATTAAAAGTCAAAAATATCTTTCCACGTGCAAAGACAAATTAGGTGGTGATTTTTTCGTTATTAAGCTGAACTCCCAACCCATTTATCTAATTTTTTTACCTTTGTTGAAAACCAAAAACCCATATTATCTATTACCTATTTCATATCCAATTTTTGTATTTGCACAAATTCACCATTTTTTTGTCATCTATGTGATCGTTGATATTGTAATGCAAAATTTTGAATTCTTAATAAACTTTGGCTTTCTTGTGGAGCAAAACATATTATTATTACTCATTCAACAACTTTCTACTAACAAACCTCACAAATTTGTTTATCATAAAAAAAACTTGACTAGTAATCTTGTATGTCAGAGTAATAGCAAAATAACAAAATAACTTAAAAAATTATCAATGCAAATAACTGAACAAGATTAATTTCGGTAGAATAATTACAACATTTTCAGTAGATTTTTCATATTTTTTTGTTATATTTTTAACATGCTAGTTGTATATAGTGAAAATAATTTTCACAAACGTGAAAACCTGATGAATATTGTGAATGATAAGAAGTAGAGAAATTACGTTTTCAGGTTATGAAAACGTGAACAAGTGATATAGTATTTATCCTGAAGAGTTTTTCTAATATTTACAAAAAAGTTTAGACTCTCATTTTTCTCTTTAAAAAAAAAGAGTTAGAATTTAGAAACATAGGAAATAAAGGGAGAGAAAATACTAAAATGAAAAATGACACATAAATCTTTGCTTAACTAATACTTTCCAAATTTTAAATGATTTTTTTACCATAGCAACACTAATTTTTGAAATAAAAAGACATATAATCCTTTTTGAAACTAACAAATAATCAAAATGTCATTTAGATTTTTTACCAAAAATATGTAAAAAATTAATCTAAAATGATTACCAGTATTTCACATTCACATTTTTTTTGTTCCCACTTTCTCTCTTGTTTTTTTTTTTTTTCTTAGACGATAAGGAATCGCAAAACCCTAACCATAACAGATATCTACCATTCGCCTCTCTAGCCACAACTGTTTATTTTTATGACCACAACCGTTCATCTTGAAAAACCATCAAGAACCTTGAATCAAAAATATTAAACACTCACCATGTATTCCTTCTTCGAGAGGAAGTATTCTTGGTACTTTGTTTAATTGGATTCAAAGCAGCTTCTAAGGTCTTCCACTAGACCATCAAACTATAAACTATACGTGGCCCAAATTCATGGGTCCATCGATGACCTTAAAACAACTCGTGCATTGACTTTGAAGCTAAGCCTGAAAAATCAAAACATATATGTTATATTAATTTACATTTCTAATCTTACCTTAAATTAAATAAAGCCTCGCACTGAATAATCAAAACAACATAAAACCCAACACACTTACCAAATCAATCAATTAACAAGAATCTTCCTTCCTTTAATCCTCAAAAAAAAAGCAGAAACCTTTTCTCATCTCCTTCCTTTGATTCTTCCTCTAGTTTAATGGGTGTTTTCTCAAATCTTCGAGGACCCAGAATCGGAGCTACCCACGATGAATTACCGGCGGCAAATGGCTCTCCTTCGTCTTCTTCTTCTCCCTCTACATCAATCAAGCGAAAGTTGTCGAATTTATTACCACTCTGCGTTGCTCTGGTAGTTATCGCTGAGATCGGGTTTCTGGGTCGGCTCGATAAAGTCGCTTTAGTCGATACGTTGACCGATTTCTTCACCCAGTCTCCGTCACTCTCGCAGTCCCCACCGGCGAGATCCGATCGGAAAAAGATCGGATTGTTTACTGATAACTGCGAGGAGTGGTTGATGAGAGAAGATTCAGTTACTTATTCTAGAGATTTCACTAAAGATCCAATTTTTATCTCTGGTGGTGAAAAGGTAAACATAAATGAATCAAAATTTCTCTTAAAGATGGGTTTTTTTTCCATTTACTTTTGGCTTATCTTATGTTTTGATCATTCCTTTTTGGGTTAAGTTTTAAATTTATGATTCTGTCTCAATTGGTAGGACTTTAAATGGTGTCCTGTGGATTGTACATTTGGAGATAGTTCAGGGAAAAAACCAGATGCTGCGTTTGGATTAGGTCAACAACCTGGAACTCTTAGTATAATCCGTTCCATGGAATCAGCACAGTACTATCCAGAAAATGATCTTGCACAGGCACGACGGTGGGTAAGCACAATCTCAACAGTTGCTTAACGTATTTCATGACGTGTCTTTTGGTAGAATGTGTATAAATGTAATGTTCTTGTTCATCAGGAGAGGTTATGATATAGTGATGACCACTAGTCTATCATCAGATGTTCCTGTTGGGTATTTTTCGTGGGCGGAGTATGATATTATGGCTCCGGTACAGGCTAAGACCGAGAAAGCTATCGCAGCTGCTTTTATTTCTAATTGTGGTGCTCGGAATTTTCGTTTACAAGCACTTGAAGCCCTGATGAAAACTAACGTTAAGATTGATTCTTATGGTGGTTGTCATCGAAACCGGGATGGAAAAGGTAACATAGGAAACTAGGCAAATTAAACATTGGTAGATCAACGAGCTATCCTTTTGATGTGATTTGTTTTCATTAAATTCATATAGTTGACAAGGTTGAAGCTCTTAAGCGATACAAATTCAGTTTGGCTTTTGAGAATACTAACGAGGAGGATTATGTCACCGAGAAGTTCTTCCAATCCCTAGTTGCTGGTATGTTTTAGATTTTATCTCTCTGTGAGCATATCTTACAACTTCTTGTTGGTGTGTATTTCTTTCCAGAAGTATTTCATTAGAACTTTATATAAAGCTAAGCAATTTTTCAACATTTGATCTCAGGATCCGTCCCCGTGGTAGTTGGTCCTCCAAATATAGAAGAATTTGCGCCTGCTTCAGACTCATTCCTTCACATTAAGAGTATGGAAGATGTAGAGCCAGTTGCAAAGAGAATGAAGTATCTCGCAGCTAACCCTGCTGCTTATAATCAGACACTAAGGTCCGATTTTGTTTCCATAAATGATTATAAATGTGTGCAATGACTTCTTCTTGACAGCTTCATGATTCTGTTTTGATTTAGATGGAAATATGAGGGTCCTTCAGATTCTTTCAAGGCACTTGTTGATATGGCTGCTGTACACTCTTCTTGCCGTCTCTGCATTTTCCTGGCCACGAGGGTCCGAGAACAAGAAGAGAAAAGCCCGAATTTCAAGAAACGACCTTGCAAATGCAGTAGGGGAGGATCAGACACACTTTATCATGTTTTTGTTAGAGAAAGAGGCCGGTTTGAAATGGAATCCATCTTTCTAAGGTAAGAAAGCCTACATATTTCACCACTTAAGCAGAACACAAGGTAGGATTAACCGGAAAATTGTTCTCGGAACCTTTCTTGTCCAATCCAGGGGTAAAAATCTGACTCAGGAAGCTCTAGAATCTGCGGTTGTCACCAAATTCAAGTCTCTTAAACGTGAGCCGGTTTGGAAGAAGGAAAGGCCTGGAAGCTTAAAAGGAGACAGTGAGCTTAGAGTACACCGGATATATCCGCTTGGCCTAACGCAACGACAGGCTTTGTACAAGTTCAAATTCGAGGGAAACTCGAGTTTAAGTAGTCACATTCAAGACAACCCTTGTGCTAAATTTGAGGTTGTCTTCGTCTAGTTTCATTCCTCTGGATCTGTTTCAGGTATCGTCTCAGCTATGAAGACATTTGTCTGTGCTAGAATCTCAAAGTGCGAAACCAACCGATTAGATGAAACAAAAGGTTAATAGTCATGAGATTGGTGAACTCAGTTTCTTTAGGCCCTATCTGTAAATCGTTCTGACATTGCAGATGATGTGTTCTTGATATCTGGATGCATAAATGTTTCAAGATTTGGAGGAATTTCATAGTTTTGAGAGTTCGTTAATTAATCCTTTAAATCTTTCTTGGGTTGATGCTAATCGTTGTTTAGAATATTCGATTAGAGAAAAGTGTGGCGCAAATCGTTTTTTTTTCTTCTTTCAAAAGTGTTATTTTATTAATAATATTGATAAACCATTACCAAAACAAGCCTTAAAACATTACAGATATACAAGAAAACTATTACAGCCCAAGAGAGAGGCCCATTTGGTGCACCTCGTGAAGAAGGTTATCTCCTCCCATAAACACACGTGTCAACCAAAGGCAAAATACATGTGTTGCAGGAGAACAACTAAGCTTTTTCCGGTGAATCAAATCGTAGCCAGACAAAACATATCCAAACGTCGATTCATCAGTTTCTCACCGATTTACACTTAAAAGGGACATGATACAGATTTTTCAATCTGCTAAATCCCTAACCACTTGCTCCGGTAAAAATAGCAACAAAAGGCATATTTTAATTTGCAAAGAAGAAATACTTGGGTTCATCATCCCTAGGGAAAATCGTCAAATATGGTTTCTTTTCTTCATCTCTTATTATCTTTTTTTTTGTTGGTGCAACTATCTCTTATTACTTAAAGAGCTAATCTTAGCTCAAATTCGACATATGATCAACAATGACATCAGAGAGTGAAGCAACAAAATCGTTTGTTGAATTTCTCTAAAAATGGGAGAGCATAAGATCTCATATAAATATAATATATATTTTTCTCAAATGTATATATTTTTACTTCTTCTTTTTTTTTTTTTTTCCTTTTCTCAAATGTATATATTTTTTTTTGCTTACAATGCAATTTCAAAGATACTTTTATGGCCTTTGTGTAAACAATAATTAAAAAAAAATAGCCAATAAGATTTTTAGATAAATTTTGTGATTGTTTTAAAAAATTTGCCAACAAAAATATTTGAAAGGAAAATGCATCGCATGGTGTGAGATGTATTACAAGTCACTAAAGTCCCACATCGGAAAGAACAAACTTTTTTCTCTTGTATATATAAGTTCAGCATACGTACTAGTACCGTCGAGCTTAGTAACGCAGGCTTGTGATCCAAGTGGAGACATCAAGGTGATGGAACATTGAGTCGATCTCAATGGGCCGGGTTCGGGTTAGGCTTTCTACTGGCCTGCCCATTCCAAGTCGGGAGTTGAGACCTGTGTCTTGAGCGAAGGCTCGGGGCTCTTGTCTCTTAGAGCGGAGGAGACCGCGTGAGGCTGGTTTCACAGAGCAGCGTCCACCTTCCTCTCTCGACGGTGGAAGGATAACGGGCCGGTGCCTTCCGAGCCCACTATGACCCATTAAGCCGACTCCATCTGGACCATCACTTTTTTTGTTTTTCCCGAAATCTGTATCGTCACGCGACGGTGACGTCGGGAATCTTAAAGCTCCTTTTGCGGCTTTGCATTTCCAAACCGCTCTCTACTTTTCCTTGGGATTCTTCTATTCGAGGCTATTCCTCTTTCATGTAAGAAACAGGCACGACGTGAGATTTTTTGTGCTCGAATTCGTTTATCCATAGCCGTGGTTTGGAGTATAGAACTCTACTTTGATGGATAGCCAAATCAAGAGCTCAAGTGAGTAATCAATTCACAGGTTCATTGGTTGATTTTGACTTCTTTATTTAGAAGTATGCACTGGCCATAGAGCTTCATAATCATCAACGTCATGTCTCCCATACTTAGTATAGGGTTCTTAGAACATGTGAGTGATTGGAGCACTGAATAATTTCTTAGCTCATGATTAACCTCAAGTTAATCATTTTCTTGTAGGTCTTCTCTAGAGTTTTTCTATATGACTATATGTGCCAATGCGGGTTCTATGTTTATAGTGTTGCTTGCGTGGGAGACCAGAAGAAAGGACTTTTCTGTTATGATGTCTCATCACATAATTACCATCATCCTCATTTGCTCCTCCTACTTAGTGGGGTAATCAGATTTTGATCTGTCTATTTGCATTATCTTACAAAAAAGTACGTCTGCTTTTTCAACATTTTGTCTCAGGATCCGTCCCCGTGGTAGTTGGTCCTCCAAGTATAGAAGAATTTGCGCCTGCTTCAGACTCATTCCTTCACATTAAGAGTATGGAAGATGTAGAGCGAGTTGCAAAGAGAATGAAGTATCTCGCAGCTAACCCTGCTGCTTATAATCAGACACTAAGGTCCGATTTTGTTTCCATAAATGATTATAAATGTTGGAACTCATTTTTTACACAAGTGGCTCCGGCCAACTTTCCGGCGACTTTTCCGGTGACGACGGTCATCGGAATGACCGGATAATGGAGTCTTTGGATTCCTTGTAATGAGCACTATAAGATAGTGTATTTACATGTAAAAATTGAAGTTATATTGAATGAGTAATTGATGTCCAAAGTGGGGAGCTTCAAAGCTTAAAAATCACAAATGTAATTTTGTCCCACATTGGAAGTTTGGAAACTTTCCCTCTAGTATATATAGTGATACCCATACAACATGGTTCACTAGCTATTGGGAAAGGGAGACTATGGTGAAGGAGATACATGCACATTATGCAACACGATACACGCGCCGCCGCCGCCGCCGTGCCGAGCCGGGCCGGGCTCGTGGGCTCTTGGGGAATGTGGGCCTCGGCCCACAAGAAAATATTCTTTTTGGGGAAAATACTTATGAGGCTTTTGTTACATTTATGCAACAATTTCTAAATAAGTTTTGGCCCATTAAGAAGAAGCCCATTAACAAAATCGAGTTTGCATAAACAAATGGCATATTCGAATATTCTAGAGCATATTCCATATTTCGAAATCGAAAAAACGGTTCCGGATATTTCGCCCATGATCTCGTCGTGGCCGAGTCCTCCTCTCGCTCCCAACGTCCCTAGATTTGCGCCCACGAGCCATCTCTTGCGGATCAAGTTGCGTCTCCTCTCGCCTATAAAAGGAACGCCCCTCTCTCTCATTTTCTTCACTTGCTTAACGCAAAATCACAACCAAACAACTCTCTCCCTCTCTCTCTTTCTTCTCAAAGTAAGTATCAAGAGTATATCGTTTATATCAAGTTCGTAGATTCCGCTATCGAGTGAAGCGATAACGGTCTCATCGTGATTGTATCCTGCGGTCCGCTGCTCATAAAACCGTCTCATCTGCGGGAGCTAGTTTGGATTACGGAAAGAGATATCATATCTCGCCTTCACGAGTTTTTCTAAATCGTCTTTCCAAATCGTTTTCTAAAAGTTCTTTCTCTCTGTTTTCAAATCGGGATTTCGCGGTCCTACAATAAATGTGTGCACTGTGCAATGACTTCTTCTTGACAGCTTCATGATTCTGTTTTGATTTAGATGGAAATATGAGGGTCCTTCAGATTCTTTCAAGGCACTTGTTGATATGGCTGCTGTACACTCTTCTTGCCGTCTCTGCATTTTCCTGGCCACGAGAGTCCGAGAACAAGAAGAGAAAAGCCCGAATTTCAAGAAACGACCTTGCAAATGCAGCAGGGGAGGATCAGACACACTTTATCATGTTTTTGTTAGAGAAAGAGGCCGGTTTGAAATGGAATCCATCTTTCTAAGGTAAGAAAGCTTACATATTTCACCACTTAAGCAGAACAAAGAATAGATTTGTGTTTTAACCGGAATAGTGGTCTTGTCCAATCCAGGGGTAAAAGTCTGACTCAGGAAGCTCTAGAATCTGCGGTTCTCGCCAAGTTCAAGTCTTTAAAACATGAGGTGGTGTGGAAGAAGGAAAGGCCTGGAAGCTTAAAAGGAGACAAAGAGCTTAAAATACACCGGATTTGCCCGCTTGGCCTAACACAACGACAGGCTTTGTACAAGTTCAAATTCGAGTTTAAGTAGTCACATTCAAGACAACCTTGCGCTAAAATTGAGGTTGTCTTCGTCTAGTTTCATTCCTACAGATCTATTTCAGGTATCATCTCAGCTATGAAGACATTTCTCTCATTCTCTGTGCTAGAATCGCAAAGATGCAAAACAAACCGATTAGATGAAACAAAAGGTTAATAGTCATGAGATTGGTGAGCTCATTTTGTTTAGGCAGGGTATCTGTAAATCGTTCTGACATTGCAGTATGATGTGTTCTTGATATCTGTATACATAAATGTTTGAAGATTTAAGAGGAATTTGATAGTTTTGAGTCTTTTGAGAGTTTGTTAATTAATCTTTAAATCTTTCTTGGGCTGATGCGTAAACACAATTAGTCTGACAAGTCGCAAGAAAGAAGATTGTCAAGTTCTCTTATATAATAAGTAACTAGATCATGACCCGCATGTACGTGCGGGATTTCGTATTTTAAGAAATGTATTGTAATAAATTTTTAGTAAATATAGATTATTTTGTTGTTTTGTTGATATATATTGTAGTATATAAATTATAATGTACTGGATCAAACGTTGAACCTGGAAAAGAAAACTCAATATGAATACAATATAATTTACATACTTAACTAAGGAACATAAATAAAGAGAACTTCTATAAAAAAAAATTTAGAATCAAACATGATAAGAAAATAAGAAGAACCGGAAATGAATGAAAATAATATTTATAACACCAAACATGATAAACATCCAGAGGAAGTCAGTTTTATGTCTTGAATTCCTTACGATCATATCTCTCGCTTTGGCCAATAGACAATAAAAAAGAAAGATTAAAATGTGTTTAACAGATACAAAATTAAATATATGATAACGTTTATGAAATATATTTTCTTTGTGAAAGGATCAATAAGCGACTTGCGATCTAATGTTGGCCCTAAAACCAAAAGTCATAAAAATACGCATAGAAGGTTAGTAAAATTGGGAGATAAACATCATAAGAACATAAAGTAATTTACTTTTAAATCTCCATCTATTGTTTTAAAGAATCGATTTTCTAGATTAACTGTGAGATAGTCAACGTGGATGTATGCATAATATTTAAAGGAAATAGATTGTACACGAAATTAGGTTTTATTTTGTGGATTCAATCTTTACCAAAAAAAAAAAACTTAATTGCATATTTTAAATTTATGATGACGAATTTTAAAAAAAAAATCTAAAATTTCCTATGATCTCAACATTTTGGTATTTTTCCATGAAACTTATCTTTATGCATTATCGCAAATATGGTAACTATGATTGTTCTAACCTTACAATTAATGAGCTGTTAAAAAAATCTTATTAATGTTTGTTTCCAAAAAAGAACCTATTCAAATTTCAAAGAAAAATAAGTATATTGGTGTGAATCACTATTTTCTCATTTTGAAATATTTGCATTGAAATTTAAAACATTGAAATTTAAATTATATTTTAATGTTTTTTGAAAACGAAAATAATCAAATTTAGAAGAATGTAAATTCCAAAAGCTTGTAACAATTTGACACGAAAAAAATAATTTATTTGATTTGAAATATATTAGTTTTTTTTTTGGTAAGAAATATATTAATTTTTTGGCTCTAAATAAAATAATTTGGAGATATAGTAACTAATATAATATGTTTTTAAAATATATTTTCTTTTATATAATTCAAATTTAGTTTAGTTATATATATATATTTAAATTATTGAAAACTACCCGGTTTTAAAAAGATATTTCAAAAATTATACCATTTATATTCTAATTAAAACGTAATACTGACTGGAAATATTTTCTAGATATTTTCCAATCTAAAATCCAAAAATTATTTGTTGAATATGCTATATTGAAAGGATGTAAGTATTTAGTTTAGATTATATATGAAAATATACTAAATGTTTTTTTTTCATATTTGGAAAATCAAATTTGAAAATCGTTTATTTTTCTTGTGATATAATTAGAATTAATTAGCATAGTTTTGTTAAGAAAATCTTTTAAAATCTAAACTAAATAATAATTTTTTATTAAATTAGATTGTGAAATATCTAATAATATATTACCAAAATAAATAAGTTTACATATATACAATTTTGTATTAAATAGGTTGATTTATTATGGAATCTTTTTAAACAATTTCCAAAAATATTAGGCAGTTATTAATTTATTAATTTTAATTTCGATTTTTTCAATTGTTTTTTTCTTTTTTTTCAAATTAAAAAAAAAAACTCAATGGCATTATATGTAATATTATACAACTTAAAGGTTTTTTATTATCTAGTGATTCTCAATTAATAGTATAGATAACCCATGAGCAAAAAATTACACAGATATTTTTTCTCAGAAGATATGGAATTAATTTTTAAACTTTTTAATAGTTTGTTACTAGAATATGCAGTTAAAAAATTAGAGAAAATATTCACAAAAATATTTGAGGTTAGAAAAATATTTTGTAACATGGTTCCCGGCTGTAGGCTCCTGGCTCCGTGACATACTCTGGTAATAAATTCTATTGGGTACAAAATTTAGAGAAAATATTCACAAAAATTAAAATATTCACAAAAATAAATATTTGAGATCCTGAGAATCTTATAATCGACCAATTTTTTTTTTTTAATAATTGACCAATCATTAAACAACAAAGTTAGTTATATTCTCTCCTTCGTGCAATCTTCTGACTTTTTTTATCTATAACCAACGAAAAATCTGAAACCTCATTTCATTATTCACCTGAACCAAAAGTTGTTTCTCTTTTTTCTTGTGTGAAAACAATCTCTCTTGGTTGAGTTATGAGCAGAAACCAGAATATTCTGATAATCATAGATTATGTATGTTCGACTTTGTTCTTTTCCCCTACAACTTTAAGAATTTGTTTCTGTGTTTTGACTTGTTTGAAACAATAAAAATCATGTGTTTCAGGTCAAGGAAAAAATCGAATGGTGTATTCAAAAGTATATGAGTTTGGAACAAACCATGACTTATCTCTGTGATCATGACCAGATTCTTCATCATATCACTGCAACAAGTAAGTATAAAATATATATTTGGTTTCAAATTCAGAGAAATCTAATCCAAAAAAGCTATTATCTTTTCTTTCTTTTTTTCTAGTTTGGGAACATCTTCAAAGAGAGAACCCAAATTTCTTCAACGAATACAACAAACGATGCGAATTGGCTCGTCAAATAGCTAAATTCAATGATTTGCTAGCTCAGCAAAAAGATCTAATTGATCTTAGCGCTTCTGCACCAGGTACTTAATTATATATAAACCCTTGTGTCTATTTTTTTTTGTGCTAAAACCCTTGTGTCTGTCCTTAAGATTTAATTTATGAAGACATTATTTTTTTTTTATTATGTCTTTTGTAGTAACAAAGTTGCAAAAACCTAATGATCATCATGATGATTGGTTTGATTTTGCTGATATAGAAGATGCATTCCCTTCTTTATTCGATCCGGTTGTTGCACCGGGTACGTCGTTTACAGAGAAACTACTCTCTTTCTAGTTAAGACTATTTGTTAAATCAAAAGATCTGTTTTTTTGAATTTATGTTTTTTTTTTAGTAACAAAGTTGCAGAAACCTAATGATCAAGATCAAATTTGTGATCAGTGGATTAATGGGTCTAATGATTTGGCTTCTATAAAAGAAACAGTTTCTTCTCTCAACGATCCGTCACCGTTTGCTGAAACACCACAATCAGATCCTCCTACAACTGGTCTACGATATGATATCGATTGTGATGATTTGATTCTTGAACAATTCGCTATAGATTTAGAAGATCAACAACAGAGAATGCAAAAAATAATCCAGAGATCACCAACAAGATGTGTACTTTCCTCTGCAACATGAATCTACAACAGTAATTCTGCAAGAAGATTTTTTCATCAACAAAACAAAAAATCAGTAAAGAAGTTTAGGCTAAACCAAAAATAACTACACACTACAAAATGTTCTTCATCTTTATTATCTTTTTTATTTGTTTTGTGCAACTATCTCTTATTAGCTAACCAGTTAACCTTAGCTCAAATTCGACATATGATCAACAATGACATCAGAGAGTGAAGTAACAAAATTGTTTGTTGAATTTCTCTAAAAAATGGGAGAGGATAAGATCTCATATTAATATAATATATATTTTTCTCAAATGTATATTTTATTTTTTTTGCTTACAATGCAATTTCGAAGTACTTTTCTGGCGTTTGAGTAAACAATAATTAAAAAAATTTAGCCAATAAGATTTTTAGATAAATTTTGTGATTGTTTTAAAAAATTTGCCAACAAAAATATTTGAAAGGGAAAATGCATCGCATGTGTGAGACGTATTACAAGTCAATAAAGTCCCACATCGGAAGGAACAAACTTTTCTCTCTTCGATATATAAGTTAAGTAAACAGGTATTGGACGTCGAGCTTAGTAACGCAGGCTTGTGATCCAAGTGGAGACAACAAGGTGATGGAACATTGGGTCGATCTCAATGGGCCGGGTTCGGGTTGGGCTTTCTACTGGCCTGCCCATTCCAAGTCGGGAGTTGAGACCTGTGTCGTGAGCGAAGGCTCGGGGCTCTGGTCTCTTAGAGCGGAGGAGACTGCGTGAGGCTGGTTTCACAGAGCAGCGTCCACCTTCCTCTCTCGACGGTGGAAGGATAACGGGCCGGTGCCTTCCGAGCCCACTATGACCCATTAAGCCGACTCCATCTGGACCATCACTTTTTTTTTCCCTGTCGACGATTAACTTCTTCGGTTGTGTTTGATGAGTTCTCCGTGAAATTCGAGGTTTTGTCTCGCCGGGACATGGAATCTGTATCGTCACGAGACGTTGACGTCGGGAATCTTAAAGCTCCGTTTGCGGCTTGGCATTTCCAAACCGCTCTCTACTTTGCCTTGGGATTCTTCTCTTCGAGGCTATTGCTCGATAAATTCGTCTTTCATGTAAGTAACACTTTCGTCCTCAAATCGTTTACATATTACCGTAATGGAATTGAGCATAACTTAAGCGTTGCGTTTGTGTGATTATGCAAAACATAGTGGCTCTTGTACTTTTCTTTAGGAGGAGCCAATGTATCAATGTTATTATGTATCCGTATTGCGCATACATTTTACAAGAAATTGTTGTGATCTTGATTACTGATTAGTGTGTTTCCTTGTTTGTTGTTTTGAACCTTCCAGAGGATAGCTATTTGGCTTTTGAGTACTGGTTCTTCTCCACTGAAATTGAATGATGCTACTCGTGTAAAAATCGTCAAATGCAAAGAGTCCCTGTGGAAATTGTTGTGCTCGAATTCGTTTATCCAGAGCCATCAAGTGAGTAATCAATTCATCAGGATCATTGGTTGATTTTGACTTCTTTATTTAGAAGTATGCACTGGCCATGGAGCTTCATAATTATCAACGTCATGTCTCCCATACTTAGTATAGGGTTCTTAGAACATGTGAGTGATTGGAGCAGTGAATGATTTCTTAGCTCATGATTAACCTCAAGTTAATCATTTTCTTGTAGGTCTTCTCTAGAGTTTTTCTATATGTGCCAATGCGGGTTCTATGTTTATAGTGTTGCTGCGTTGCTCGAGTGGGAGACCAGAAGAAAGGACTTTGCTGTTATGATGTCTCATCACATAATTACCATCATCCTCATTAGCTCCTCATACTTAGTGGGGTAATCAGATTTTGATTTGTCTATTAAGATTGGATTCTAACTTAAAAAAAACAGATACACTTGGATCTTTAATGGATTTGTTTAGGAAACAAGAAATTTCTGTGAACTGAAATGAACTTGAGCCTGTTTCTATAGTTAATAGGGGCTACCTGACTCTGAAAAGTTTCATCATTTGCTAGCTTGTAGCTAGTTTTGTGCCTATGTGGTTCCAGATATAGATCAAAAGGGCAACTGAATTTATTCATATGCAGGTTTTTTCGAATTGGATCAATCATCCTAGCCATTCATGACGCGAGTGACGTGTTTATGGAATCTGCTAAAATTTTCAAGTATTCCGGAAAGAAAGTTGGAGCAAGTTTGTGTTTTGGATTGTTTGCTATCTCTTGGTTTTTGCTGCGGTTGGGATTTTTCCCATTTTGGATCATCAGGGCTACGAGGTACACAATTTACTTACTCCCAAAGGATAACATCTCTTACTCTTGATCGATTTCGTCTATATGATATTTACAAATTCCATTTTTCAGCTTGAAACTACTAGGCTATTTGGATATGACATCAGTTAAAGGCTCATAGATGTACTATGCCTTCAATACAATGTTACTAATGCTATTAGTTTTCCACATATATTGGTGGTATCTCATTTGTGCAATGATCATAAGACAACTTGAAAACAGAGGAGAAGTGGGAGAAGACATAAGATCAGGTACCACTTTTCTTTCAGTATTTTTTTTTTAGATCAAAAGTTTTGCTTATAAGGGGTCAATGGTTGCTAGAATCTGTTACATAAACATTTAATCATCACGCATATGAATCTTGATCACTATTCTTTACTTCTGTTGTGTATATGGAAGTTTTGAGTGATTCCGTTTTTTAATTTACATCGATGGCAGATTCGGAGGATGATGATTCAGAGGTAATGGTGAAAAATGGTTTTCAGATATCTCAAATGACACTTTTAGCATTGCTATTACTCATTAACCTTAGAGTAAAAGAGAGAAAAGAGTTGTTTTTGCAATCTTGTTTAAGTAAAACTAGTAAAGGAATTTCTTTTTGTTGTAAATGAAAATTCAACCCTTTTTGTATGTGTTAATGTAATTTGGACAGTGCTATTTTCTCAAAAAGAAGATTGTCTTCTGTATGTTTTAACTCTATTCGTTGAAAGAAGTATAACCAAAGTCTAAAGAAGTACAAATAAAATTCGATCAAACCAATTTGTTTCTTGAGAGTTACTTTAGTAGTCAAACAATGCAAGAATGAAATGGGATAAAAGAAGGGAATATGACGCGCCAGGTAGGGGTCGAACCTACGACCTTCTGCTTAGGAAACAGACGCTCTATCCACTGAGCTACAGGCGCTTTGTTGACATAATTATTATATTGTTGATAATATTTATAGTTTTAGATTTATACACAGTGGAGAAAATAAAGACACATTCTTTACATTGTAACCAAATTAGTAGAAAGATACATATTTTGTAGACAGAAAAATTGCGTGGTGCGACATTCTTGTAGTTTTTAGTTTGACCATATTAATAATATGTGTTACAAGTTTCTGTAGTTTTAGAATTTTAAATTAAAGGCAATAATAAATTTCAATAGTAAAAAACAGCCTAGAAAAAGAAGATAATCAAAAACAAAAAGTAGAAAATAATCTTCTATCAGATTTTATGTCGTAATCAAAAGCATTATTAGAAAAGAAAATCATATTGTTTGGTTTTTAAATCCCTTATTTAGTAATTAGTATGCTTATAAAGGTAAGAGTAGATTTGTTTCTTTCATCCTAAAAAAGGTAAGAGTTGAATTTTCTGTTCAATAGCTAGCTGTTCCGTTCAAACAGTGGAATGACCGGTTTGGGTTAGGACTAACCGGGTCTCTGCAAACCAAATGCCGTAATTATTGCAGACGTGTCATAATAGAACACTCGGTGGCTTCTTGATTATTATTTTTCGAGTTTCGAGGATCAAACAATTCAATCTTCATCAATCAATCATCTTCTACTTCTGCTCCAGTTTCGCTGAAAACAAGAAACCTTAAATTAATCGAAAGCAGCTCAGTGTAAATTAATCAATGGAGATCAAGCCTGGTTTATCCGCTCTCGTCACTGGCGGTGCCTCTGGGATCGGTAAACATTTCAACAATTGATTTTTTGTTTGTTATTGATGAAATCTACTGGCTAGTTTTCGTGTTTTGTGAAAACAATTTTAGTAAATTGGTTAGATTCGCTGACGGGATTATTCTTATTAGATTTACGTATGAAATTGGTGTGTCTGTTATTTTTTTTTCTTTGCACAAATTTGGATGATGTAATAATCTTAACATTTGGTGTGTGACGCATGGATTTTCTTTTACTCATTGGGTTTGGTTCTTATGCATTTATGTATTGTAAGATGAAAAAAAAGCTCGGTACTTTTTGGGTATTAAAAAGCACATCAGTACTATTGTGAGTATTGTCACTCTGTTTACTAAGTAATACAATGTGATATATTTGGTGATGAGATGTTCAATTTTGTGTAGGTCGAGCTCTCTGCTTAGCTCTTGCAGAGAAAGGAGTGTTTGTTACGGTGGTTGATTTTTCGGAGGAGAAAGGACAAGAGACTACCTCGCTTGTTCGAAAAGCGAATGCCAAATTTCATCCCGGATTAAACTTTCCTTCTGCTATCTTTGTGAAATGTGATGTCACTGATAGAGGTGAGTGTATAGTTAGTAGCTTAATGATGAAACAGAAAAATTTAGTGGTGTATTAATTCTCTGGTTTATGAGCAGGAGATCTCGTCGCTGCTTTCGAGAAGCATTTAGCCACATTTGGAACACTTGACATCTGTATCAACAATGCTGGGATTAGCACTCCTCTAAGATTTGATAAAGATGACACTGATGGATCTAAATCATGGAAACACACCATTAATGTCGATCTCATTGCAGTAATTGAAGGCACACAACTTGCTGTAAGTCCATTATCATTGGCTTGTTAAGTGCCGATTTTTATTATGTCGGTTTTACACGAAACTTCAGATTATAATGATTTTCCACTTGTGTGTAGATCAAAGCTATGAAAGCCAAACAAAAGCCTGGAGTTATCATTAACATGGGATCAGCTGCAGGTCTTTATCCAATGCCCATTGATCCTATCTACGCTGCCTCTAAAGGTTTGATTTTTACTTGTGTGTTATTGTTTCTTTCATTTGTTCATTGAATTATATACTATGTATAATTCTTTTTTTTTATCCCGTATGTTACATCTCTGCAGGCGGTGTCATATTATTCACTAGATCATTAGCATATTACAGGCGTCAGGGGATCCGCATCAATGTCCTTTGCCCTGAAGTAAGTAGAATATGTGAATGTCTCTCAAAATGTTTATTAATGCTCTATTGGGCTTTTTGAATGGTACAATATGTTTGATAAATAAGTGTAGCCACTGACATGAAACTTCAGGTGTCCTGTGTGCGGCATATGGGTTTAAATTTTCGTTTCACTCTCATCAAAAATACTTGTTACTTCATAAAGCTCTGTTATGAATGTGTTTGTTACAATTAAAATACTTTTTAGCTGAGTGTTGTCTAAATTTTTGCAACTGCACTTTTGCTGTGCAGTTTATCAAGACAGACTTAGCTGAAGCTATTGATGCTTCAATACTTCAGTCAATAGGTGGTTACATGTCTATGGACATGTTGATTAAAGGTGTGTACGCATATCGAATTATAGACTTGGACTTAGATATCTTAGTGACCGGCTGACACATGTCTGCTGAAATTTTTAGGCTTCTATTTATGTTTTCATATCGAGGAAATTATTTTGTTTTACGCTTATTCGACATGGTTGCTTAGTTTAGTCCCGTGCAGAGTTTTGTAACACGTGAATGCTCTTACATTTTCAACTGTATATATCTCTCTGTTTTATGGATTGGTATATTCTCACTTTTATCTTCTATTGAAAAGCATTGCAAGTTGTTACCGATATAGGAAGGATATCAATAGAAGATCAAACCATTAATGAAATTCATGGGTTTGCCATATTTTTTTTTAAGGTGCTTTTGAGCTTATAACCGATGAGAAAAAGGCCGGGGCATGTCTATGGATTACCAACCGCAGGGGTTTGGAGTATTGGCCAACTCCAATGGAAGAGACAAAGTACTTGGTGGCTTCAAGTTCCAGGAAAAGACCTTCCTTTAAAGTATCTTCCAAAATTGAACTTCCTCAAAGCTTCGAGAAAATGTAAGTTATTATGGGACTATGTGTGACAATTTTCATAGGCGGATAAATTTGTATTTCTGTCTCCTCTTAGACTTTACATACTGATGGCTTACTCTCTCCTTTAGAATTGTACACGCCTTGTCTCATAATTTCCGCAATGCTACCCGCATAGTTCGCACATCACTAAAACTACCCATTGGACCACACCAAGTTCTCCTGAAAATCATCTATGCTGGTGTTAACGCAAGTGATGTAAGATTTATTATTGTCTACCGTGTATCGTTGTCCTTTTAACTGTTTCTTAGATTCCCTCTTCTTCTCAGTTAATAGGTAACCACCCTTGTCGTGATTGCAAACTTTTTAGTTGGTCCTTATTGTATACCATGAGCAGGTAAACTTCAGCTCAGGTCGTTACTTTAGCGGCGGCTCACCGAAGCTTCCCTTTGATGCTGGATTTGAGGTATATTTCAACTTCTACAGCT